AGAAGACTGCCTGTAGCATGCCAAGGGCTTGGTTTTCTGCTTTGCTGCTCACCATTGGGCTGTCTGCTGCTCTTTGTCCCTGTCAAGTAAAAGAAACTAATATCTTTAAAGTGCCTGAGGTGGTTGAGGAGGAGGAGCCAAAAGAAGAGGTTCCAGTGGTTGTTCCCAAGAAGCCTGAGGCGGTGATCAAGAAGCCTGTGCCAGTGCCTAGGAAGCCTGAGGCGGTGCCCAAGAAGCCTGAGGTGGTGCCCAAGAAGCCTGTGCCAGTGCCCAAGAAACCACAGCCTGTGGCTGTGCCCAAGAAGCCAGAACCTTTACCTGTTCTTAAAAAATCTGAGGTTCCTCCATTGAAAGGTATATAGATCAGTGTCGTGAACAGTTTCGGTATTTTCAGTGATATGCACAGTGCTTATGTATTTGTGTATGCAGTGTCCCTGAGAATTTTATTCTTCATATTCTTAGTCTGTTTCTCATTGTTGGTGCTTTTCTGCATTGTGCTTTTGTATGTTTCAATATTCACAAATATGAAAATTAAATATCTTTAAAGCACCAGAAGTGACAGCAAGAACTGTCCTAGAGGAGAAAGTGATTCTTGAGACACCTAAAAAGCCAGAATTCAAAAAACCAGAGCCTCCTCCAACCAAAGGTATATATGTCTTGATGGCACTTTCTTAGAATGTCTTTTCTGTTTCTCTTTCCTTTGTTTATAACTGTGTCTATACAATGTGTCTTGTTTACTTCCTGTTCAGAACACATTCTTTTGTTGTTATGGACACTGTTACTCGCTGTTATTTTCTTTGTGGTAGTTGTCATTTTCTTTTTATGTTTCATTCACACATTTATTTGCATGTAAATAAAATGTATTAATATTTTTTGAAGTGCTTGAGGTCCCCAAGAAAGTTGCCTCAGGGGAGGAAGTACCTGTTGCTCTTCCTAAAGTACCTGAACCTCTACCAAGTGAAGGTATTATTGTAAAGACAATTTAACTGTTATTCCAAATGTATGCTTTAAAAAAAAAAAAAATTCTTCTTTTTTCCCTATTCTAGTTCTTGTATTTTGTTCACTTCACATTTTAGATTATACCAATTTATGTTTTTGTCTCTTCTATTACAGTTCCATAGGAGAGAGCTAAATATTACTTTAAATATTTTCACATAGTCCTACGTTGGGTATTCTTAAGAGTATCTTTTATCATTCAATTTTAGGCAATAATCAATTCTCACTAAATTCACATTTCTTAAGACCTAGTATTTCTATTGCTGTAATCTTAAATTAACTAAGAACATTCAAGCTTTTATTTTCTCCAGTTATAAATACTCATCCAAAATTTATTTCGTTTATATTGTACGCAGAAAAAATACTATCTCCATCCAATCCTGAATTACACTTGCAGATAAAGCATTTTTCTCAAAGAATGCATTAACTGCAAAATTAGCGGCATGACCTGATACTTAGTGATTATGTGTCCTAACATTTATTTGTCTGTGTGTATTGGAGTAGCCTTCTTTTTATTGGTGTCTGCAATGATCTTATCATTGGAAACTTACACCAGTTATCAATGTTCTTTAAAGAATATGAAATTGAAAAGGAAAGTGAAGCTGAAGAAACAGAAGAAATTTCAGTAACAGAAGAAGCTTTACCAGTTGAAGGTATATAGATTACCTAGAGGCTATCAGACAGTTTCCTCTTTCATTACTGCACAGATTTTCTTGCTCTGTTGTTCTTCAAAAATATACCTGTGTGCAGTCAATCTCCATGTATTTCCTTCCCTGTTACATGTTGCAAACAAGTTCAGATCTCTTAATTCTTCTAAGTATAATATGCAAAATATTTTAAGTGCTTTCACTTTGTTTCTGTCAACTGGATTCTTCTTATCATTTGCTCTCCCATCTTTGTCCTCATGTTATTAACATGTTTTTTTAAGTGTGCTTAAATGTTTGTGTTTTGTGTAAGCTACAGAGCAATAGCCTAGAACTCTTACTCCCATTTGATCAATGAGATTTTTTTCATTAACTTCATTGGAAATGGAAAATGATTGTCTTTGTTTGCACTCTTCACATGTCCACATGGTAGTACGTTTATTCTAAATATACCCAATGTTATTTAAAGCACCAGAACCTGAAAAGAAAATTCCTGAAAAGCGAAAGCCAGCAGTTCCTGCACCAGTAGAAGACATTAAACTGGCAAAAGAACTACTAAAAGGTATAAGCATTTGAAGCCACCATTAACAATGGAGATTCAGACATGTAATCCTTTTTAATTACACTGGTGAATCTTAAAAATCGTGCTTTAAAAGGTGTCACTGGATCTTTCTTCTCTATTATTACTCTAATAAGGCATTTTGCTAATGCTAAATCTTTATGAATTTTCAGCGTATTGTGGGTAAATAATATTTTTTTACTTACTATATTTTACTATTATTATGTCAAGTCAGTTTGCATGCATTCTTTTCAATAGTTCTGGAATAAATGAATGTATTTATGAGTATCTTTAGAAAGTTAACACGTTTGTTTATGCTTAACATAATTCTTCTACTTTTAACATGTTCTTACAAAAGACAAGAATCCTCACCCGTTATTTGCTGATTCTGCTTTGTAAACATTGGTTTCAAATCAACTCTGCTTCATTTTATCCGACTTCTTCTAAATAGCTTATCAACCAGAATCTTACCTTTGTAGCCCTTGTCTTTCTACAATGTCACTTGTATTAACCAGCTATATGTATTTTTGAGAAACTTCTTTTTGGAATCAGATTATATATATGATAAAATTCAAATAATTTTCTTTAAAGCTCCTGAAGCAAAGAAGAAAGTTGTGACAGCAAAACCTGTTGAGGCTCCACAATTGGAACCCCCACCTGCTAAAGGTACCTACCTAATAAAAATATCTTTATTCTCTGAGGCATCTTTTGAACCAAGACTTACACCTTTCAGTATATTCTTCTTTAATTTGCTCAGAAATATCAAGTGGTGCCTTTATTAGACTGTACTTCAAGAATAGACTCTAGTCTTGAATAGATATAGTCCATGTCCTCATTAAATTCCCATTTTACAATTTATGAGATGTAAAAAAGATAATAACGGAAGAGTAAGAAAGTTTTGTCATTTGTGTTTATTCCAGTTCTCTGCTTACAGAGAAATAATAATATGCTGTTTAAGTGTATATAGCATTGTGCATCCATACTTATTGTATGTCTGACATGTAACTTTATTTAGTGAAAAGACACTTCCAGAATTGGCTTATGAAAGATAAATTGAGCAAGACACTTTACAAGTACTCCTTTGCATTCTTCATATGTACTAGTGTTCTAAGCAACACCATATAAATATCTTAATGCTTCTTAGAGATTAAACTATGAATATCATAGTACAGGTGAAGGTAATGAAAGAGTTAAAACGTAAACATGATAACTCTCTTTGAATACATAACTCTTCTAGTTTTCTTAGTTCATACTTCACTTTTGTTATTTTGCATGAAAATTTACTCTTGTGGATAGGCCTTTAAGACCACTGAACAAATGGTAATGGGAGGTTGATTGAAAATACTGACTTCAACCTCAGCAATTATTTGCTTTGAATGTTCAATAGTGTACCAGCACTTTATTTGTGTGTTTGAAGTTGTTAATTGTTAATTAGCTCTTCCTACTGGTATGAACCTATAATAAAATCTGGAATAATATTCTTCTAAGTTCCTGGACTTGTAAAGAAACCTCGTAGAATAATTCCTGAAGTTACCCCTCCACCGAAAGAAGAAGTTGTTTTGAAAAGAGGTACAGTAACTTATAGTGGCATAAAACCCCGGCATACTAACATTGTTCAGTGTGTTCTCCTAAGTAATGTCGCTTTATGTGGCGTGGAAAATTACATGAGTAGTGTACTACCTGATGGGTGTTTATCATGGAAAGAGTTTATAACTGAAGAGATAAAGCAAGGGCATAGCAAAAATTAGTTAAGTCCAAAGGATCTGTGCTGAAAACAGTAGAATGCTGAAAATCTGGTTCACTGCTGTAACTCTCTTCTGTTTTCTATTGTCTACAAAACCTATACAAAAACTCAATTTTTCAGTGTCTTCAGTTCATGGACACCTATATATTTTCCTGTGATACTGTAGATTTTATTAAAAATCACACGTGACATTCTCTTTTATAGTTTTCTTGGAATTACTGCACTGCTCTCAAGATCCAGTGGCACTATTGGATATAATTCTCCTTTCCTGCAAAGTCTTGAGCCTTTCAGATTACTTTGTGCTCAAAGCTTAAAAAAGAAGTAGTAATAGCCAGGCTCTTTGAAATACTGAATGATCATTTGTGCCCTTCAAATTTTAGACAATCCAATTCCACAGATGTTCAATTTTTCAGATGAATCTCATTAGATAGTCAAAATGCATATCTGACAGGACAAAAATAACTAAAATGTAATCCAGACAAGATATAAATTAGAGCTCTCCAATACAACAATTGAAAATTATTGTTTTCTTCTCTGATGGAAGTCAGTAGATATTTAATCCAGAATCCTTCATTTTGTCCCTGAAAATCACCTATAACTGAAGTTATTAATGCATAATTATGTGGTAATTGATCTTTAAATTGTAGTAGATGAAATTTTTCTCTCAGAAGAAAATACGAGACTGACAGACATCGTTCAAATGTTGTATATGGACATTTATCTGCTAACTAAACCCTCATAGAATTAATCCAATATTCACTCACCACAGATGCAAAGATACATTAAGAACAGTTCCTAAAATGTGCTGAGAAGAAAGCACTAGGAAACTGCAGTGATGTTATTTAATCTAGTAGGACATTTTGAATTTCATACTGGATATTTGTAGATTAAAAATAGCTTGACATGAAAAGCTGTTGTTAACTAACATGCTTGATGAATACTGTGTAAATAGATAATATTATTTTAAAATATATTTTATCTTCCATTATTCTCCTGAAATACCTACCCATAATATCTTTTCCATGAAAGTTCTATGATAAGAAATCGTGTTCTGTCATAGAGAGTTAACATCTTTCTACTAAAAGAGAGTGATCTTAAAACATCTTTTTGCTCTAGATTACTTTTAAAATGCTTTCAGAATAGTATTTTACTGTGTATTTCATATGCCTATTTCTTCATTGATTGTATATGTTTAGGCTTCTGTCTTGCTCACTATCTATCTTATTCATTTGTTTACCTGTGCTTTAAAAACTGAAATTACTTTTCTTTTAAAGTTCTTAGAAAGAAACCAGAAGAGGAAGAACCTAAACCAGAGAAAGAACCTAAACCTGAAGTTAAACCAGTACCTACACCAGTAGAAAAAATTAAGAAACCTGAAGGTACTAGCTTACATTCAAATCTACTTTTGTGGAAAAGAAAAACAACAGAAAATTTAAAAAATATTCTCTGCAACTCAGAGTTCCAAAATTCTCTCAATTTTAAAATTCAGATTTGAATAGATGAGCTTCATAAATGTAATTCTGTGAATCAGAGCTTTGCTGGGAAGCACCACCAAATTTGGCATGCGCATTGGGATCTGAATTCTACAGTGTGTAATCTGACTTGTCAATCTAAGTGTAGAAGAGAAATTTACAAGTATACTGTAAGACTGATTTAAAAAATTGCAGTAAAATGGTTAATCCAAATATTCTTTCAGTCAAGGTCTTGCAAATATGTGTCCTTTTGTCCATTTTACTGCTTCTAATTTGTTCAAATCCTAGCCTTAAAAATACATGTTCTTCAACAGTTTGAGACATTAGGTTTTAAGTCTGAAAAGAGTGAAGACTTTTAATTATATTGGAGAGTGAGGTATTTAGAGATCCAAGGTGTTGCAGTATATCTTACAAAATAATGTTTTAAAGTCTCAGAAGTTCCCAAGAAGAAAACTGAGATACCTGTCATTAAAAAGGAGGAGAAACATGTTCCTGAACCACCAAAAGGTATATTTGTGTGATGCTATTTTCTTTATTGCAGCATCTAAATTTTATTAATTGCTGCATTTCGCGCTGAATTAAATGAATGCATTGTTGCCATCCCTTCTGTCCATGACAATTGTATACGTGTTAACTACTTTGCATTCTTCAGGATTTCTTTTTGTCTTTGATTCTTCAGTGCTTGAAAAATTTATCTTTTTTTTTCTATTTTATCTTGCTTTTAAAGTGCTCATCTCCAGTAAATTTCTTGCTTGCTGGCAAAATTTGTTGAAAACAGTTAGGTCTGTCCTCCATTAACTCTGTCTGTATTGTTGCTTGGAAATTTTATGTCCAATGAGATTAGAAATTATGTAAATTAACCTGTTTGTAATTGTTGTGTTTCAAATACCAGAACCTAAGCAGGCAGCTATCTCAGTTCCTGGGCCTGAACCTAAACCTGCCGTAGGTAAGACTTCTTTAGCCGTGAATACCAGTGCAACCTTACTTGTACATCTTTTTCATTTAGAGTTTTTTTCCTTGAAATGACATTAAAAATACATGTCAGCTATAGTACTATAAAGACATACACTCTGCAGAGCATCTTAGAGAATATCATGCTTAAAACCAAAGTATTCATTGAAATAAATAAATGAGAACTCCTTTATAATTTTTTTTTTTCCTACAGCTTTAAAATCTCCAAAACCAGCAGCAGAACCAGCACCAGCTGTTACTACTGCACCAGTGACAACTCCTGTTGTTGGAAAGAAAGCAGGTATTTATGATAGTTCTATGCTACTTATAGGGTTTTTCTCTATAGATACCTAAATATGTGAAAGATAAAGACAATTAACAGCTGTACAATCGTATAACTCATTCATTACCAGGTAATTTTAGATCCTGCTCCAGGATCCTGATATCCTTGATACTGCCACCTGATGTGAAGCTTATCTCTGTGGAATTCCACGGAGATGAATCTGTACTATTATTTCTGGATTGTGAAATGTATGCTTGGATTTTTTTCCTACTACGAAGTTTGTGTATTCTGTTTATTCATGTTGTTTATGTTCTGATGTATGTCTTGTGAACTGCATCTTGAATCTTCTGTGTTGTAAATGGATGATTACACACATTTCTAAATAATTCCTGCATTATTTGATCTTCTGCTTTCAATAACAATACTTTGTTATTGAAATCCCAAGGGAAAGTGGCAGCAGTGTTGAAGAACCAGCGTATTGATAGCTTAATATGATATGCTTAGGGCTCTAAGTCCTACCCCACTATGAACAAATCATTCGTTCTCCTCCTCAAAGCATTCTAAGTCTGAGGTCCATCAGTAGATCTGAAGTAGATGCTGGTCAGCCTTTGACATAGTGGCACTGCTATCCATTTTATGTAGGTAACGGGGTCCTAAACCATTGTCCTCGAACCATTACTTTCTGCTGCTTTCAATCTGGATTGAATACGGACTGGTAAACTACTGGGATGATGCTCTGTACCGTGACATGTTGCCATCTGTGCTGTTTTTATGTATCATTCTTATCTTTTTTTGTTTCATTTTGTCTTTTGTTGTATAGTCTGTTGTGCGAAGAAAAATTGTTCTATGTTCACTTTATTTCAGGTATAGCTGGAAATTTTGTCTTAAAATGTGTTGTTCTTGATGCTTGTTCTTTTGGATTTTAACTCTCTAAATTACCTGTGAAATCTTTGTAGCTGCAGAAAAACCTGATGCACCATCTTTACTAAAGCATAAAGGTAAAATGCCTCCAGTGGAAGAAGACAAGACTGAGTCAATTGTGTTAAAGAAGATATCAGTTGAGAAACATGCACATATAAAAGAGAGAGTAAGTCCTAAAGAGACAGTTCTGGAAGTTCAGATGGTAGAGCCATTTGAGTTAAAAACTTTGCTGGAAACTGCTGGTGGATTATTAAAATCAGAACGATGTGAGCAGGAGCAAGTAATTCTTAAATATTTTGTGCTGCCTCCTGAAGGAGAGGAGCTAGAAATGACTCATTTAATTTCAAGGACTCCTACCCCTACAGGTGAGACAAAAGAGGTTGCAATGGGTCGCGTTACTTATGAAAAGAATGAACCACTACTAGTTGATGAGGAATTGCAATTGATCTGTATATCATCTGAACACGAGGAAACTGTTTGCAGAGAAGAAAAGAGGGATGAAGCTAAACTGGCTGTTCATGAGGAAGGTGATATAGAGAGAGTCTCTGACAAGTCTAGGCTTCTTCAGGAAAGAGAGATTCCTGCATATGAAAAAGGAGGGGAAAACGAATCAACTTATGTACCTAGTCTTATACCCAGAGGGCCTTTTGATCCCAGAGACAAGAAGAGATTTGTAAGAACAGAGAGAAAATCGAACGTAAGCTTGCAACATGAGGAACCTCCCATTAAGGATAAAACCTCATTTGTGAAGACTGTCACACAAGCAGAAATATCTGGTAATCCTCTGCTTACCAGTGAAGAAAAGAGAGGAGAATTTACTCTAGAGAAATCAGAAATTACCCCTGGAGAATCCGTGAAGGACAGTGGTATGCAGAAGAATGCTCAACAGGTGAAGAAATCTGGTACAACAGTAGCTGAAATTCCTATGTATAAGATTCTTAATAAAGAAGCAAAGAAAATGGAAATTGTTCAAGATCATGAGAATGATGAGAAAAGGAACTTTACATCATTGAATCTACATCCCTTAGAACTGTCTGATGAGACTACTGAACCAGCACTGAAAGAAGACCTAGAACACCTCAATGAAGAAAATGTAGTCTCTAGAGTAAAAGCTCACAGAGACTTTGAACAGTATGTTCTTTATCCACAAGTAGTGGACATGAAAACAGGTGAAAAATATTCTGCAGAGGAAGAACCCATTGAACTTCATTATGAGGAGGGTTTAGAATCACTGTTGACTGAGAAAGCACTACTAAGTGATAAAAAACCAGGCAGAAGGATTATATCAGAGAAGAAAGACAAAACTATTTTCAGCAGCCCCTTAAAAAAAGACAAATTTAGACAATCAAATGCCCCTGAAGAGCTGCCCATGGGAAAACAAGAATTTGATACAGAGATTATAGGTGAAGGAATGGAAAGAGAAGTTTCCATAGGAGAACATGAAAAGGGAGTTGGAGATGAAATAGCTAACAGAAACGAGTCAGCAAAGAAAGTTCCTATTCAGCCACCAAGGAATCAAGATAAAAAACTATTTCAAAAGCTTCATACCACTCCATATGAAAGTGAAAAAGCTCCAGATGTCAAAAGCAGCAAAATTAAAACTGAAGAAAAGAAAGCTCCTCTGACTGTAGAAGAAGTGAAGCTTACTGGAGGAGCGCTTCAAGAGATAGAAGGTATATCAGATGAAAAAACAGCATCTGAAAATGACTTTGGAAAAAGCACATCTGTTACTAAGGAAAAAGAGAAGGAAATGCTTCCAGGCAGAATGACATCAGGTAAAGGAATCCCTGAAAGCAGAGAAATCACTTACTCCTCCAGCATAGGTAAGATAATCACTCCCAAGAAAGTGGAAGGAGGGAAGGAGTACTGGAAATCAGAACCTGCTTATGTGATTGAGCAGGCCAGTAGCCTTTTGAGTGGTGACAGGAATTTGGATGCATCTGGTGAATCACATCAAGTTCTGGATGTTCCTGCTAAGCCTCATGCAAAGCGAGGTGAGGAAGACTACTGCCAAATTCTTCCACAAAGTGCTTGTACTATTTGCTTCAAGAGAAAGTACCATTTGCCATTGCAGTGTTTGTTCGTTAACACCATTCACATTTCCATCCACTCTATTGGCATTCAGCCACTCTTTACATGTTTGTCTTACTTGTGTGTACGTATCTCTGTGCTGTTTATGTTCACTGTCTGAACATCACGCTTTTGTAAGACTGTATAAATCATGTTGCGTGCCATTGTCATCTCAAAAATACTTGCACATTTTTTCTAGCATTCATTTTTCCATCTACTGCAATAAAATCTATCCTGCATTTCATTCATATCATTCTGACATTAAAAGTATACACTACATTTTGTTTCACAAATCATGATAAGAAGCAGCATATTGTGGCAAATGTTTTCAGACATTGTAGATGGGTCATCACAAATTGGACAACTTATGGAACATCCCTCAGTTGTGAGAATATCACATTGTCCTGAAATGTATTTAATTTATACAACCTATTTTTGTTGTCTCCATTTAGTAAGTGTGTGTGCTTTTTCTCAAATAACACATAATTTGTAACAGGTACTTCAACTGTTTTGATTGACAAGTTGGTACTGATCAAGATCCTAATTGCAAGTGAAGTGTTAGGGAATGGCAGAATTTTACAAGACAATAAATTGAGGCATTCGGAGCTCCTAAGCTGCCTTTCGGTCTCCAGTGCTGAATATATCTTTCCCATCCTCAAAGATACTGAGCTTTCATTCAGATATAGACAGGATAAGCTATATAAATATATATGTCTATGTATTTCCCTTCCATGTGTTCATAACAAAGGAAGGAGAAAATATTATTTGTAAAATAAATTTATCTTAATTTAATATGCATGTTTATTTAACTCCATTCCTAATAATATTGCTGTTCTTCTTCAGAGGCCAAGCCAACAAAAGAAGAAACTCCAAAGGGTATCAGCCCAGTCAAAGGTAAGGATGATTACTAAATGGCTATGATTGCTATTGTTTTACAATCCTGAACTCAAATTATAAATAATGCTTTGAGAAAAAAAAAAAAATCACTATTCAGCAATCTTCTAAATTAGACTACCCAGAAAAGATTGTTTATAGTGTGTTGGAAGATCTGTTGTTTTTGCCTGAGCAACAGTAGTTAATAGGCATACTTTCGATGAAAATGTCTTTAAATTTTTTGTTGATTCAGCCATTGATAATGTCAGTTAACCTGCATGCTTTTCTCAATAGCTGGACGTTACCAGAACATTAGACAGAACCAAACTTGACTATTGTATGAATGTAGTTAGAGATTATACAGCCTTCCAACAAAACTATATCAAGCAAGCAAGGCTATGCCTCTACTTTCAGGGCACAACTAGTCTGTTGGAAGCAAAGTGGAGATGGAGGAAGAGCTACTTAAACACCTTTGATTCTCTGCAAATCAGATTATTCTGAAGTTTACGCCCAATTTATCTCAAAATATCTGCCTTCAAATTCTATAGATAAATTCATGATTCTGTTATTCCATGTTTTGGTTTGAATAGATGAGATTTTGTGATCTTGTAACTAGTACAGTCACACTTTTTTCAGTTCATCTGATATTAACTCAAAAATTTAACACTAGTTACTGGCTCTATTGAAATTCCATTAAGTCTATAGGGTTCTGCAATACTATGCAATGCATGATTGAAGCAAGTGGATCAGAAACCAGTTGCAGTTTGGAATTGTAGAAAACTTATAAGAAAAGTAAAATAAAACAAAGAATTTGTTTCTGATTCTGAATTACAGCCAAGAAGACACCTTCACCAGCAGATGCAGAAAGGAGGAAACTCAGGCCAGGTAGCGGTGGTGAAAAACCTCCTGAAGAGCCTCCATTCACTTATCAACTCAAGGCTGTGCCACTGAAGTTTGTCAAGGAGATGAAAGATATAGTGCTGAAAGAAGCAGAATCTGTTGGGTCTTCTGCAATCTTTGAAGTCCTTATTTCACCATCCACTGCAATTACCAGCTGGATGAAAGATGGAAGTAACATCCGAGAGAGCCCAAAGCACAAGTTTATTGCTGATGGCAAAGATAGGAAACTGCATATCATTGATGTCCAGCTGTCAGATGCTGGTGAATATACTTGTGTACTACGACTAGGGAACAAAGAGAAGACCTCTACTGCCAAACTCATTGTTGAAGGTAATCCCACTTCAGATCTGTCAGTAATTTAAAGGCTAACTCCTACTAAAGCTTATGAATTTACAGTGATAAATACATATTTTAGTTTTCATCAATAACTACAAAGTTTGATTTAGCACGTAAGGTATTCTTCATCATGCCATACAAATGAGAGAAATCAAAATAATGTGTTTCCCTCAGAACTCCCGGTACGATTTGTGAAAACACTTGAAGAAGAAGTCACTGTGATTAAAGGCCAGCCACTGTACTTGACCTGTGAGCTTAATAAAGAAAGAAGTGTGGTCTGGAGAAGGGATGGGAAGATCATCAAAGACAAGCCTGGGAAATTTGCTCTGGGTATTATTGGTTTGTCACATTCCCTCACCATCACTGATTCAGATGATTCTGATGCTGGCACCTACACTGTTACCGTGGAAGATACTGAGCTCTCATGCTCATCTTGTGTTAAGGTAGTAGGTAAGCAATCAAAATAATCTTCTCTTTTCTCTATGGCTCTTTTAAAATCAGTATTTCACCCATAGCATTGCAATATAAACTTATAGGTAGCACTTCTGCAGCTATTAAATGCTTGCTGTAATATAAAATCTCTAAGTCCTCTTTCTTCTGTTTATGATTCATCTATTTATTTTAAAAGTCTTATAACCTATTTTTCTGCGCAACTTCTTGTAATGCAGAAGTGATAAGAGACTGGCTAGTAAAACCTATAAGAGACCAGCACGTAAAGCCAAAAGGAACAGCTACTTTTACCTGTGACATTGTCAAGGATACACCAAACATTAAATGGTTTAAAGGCGATGAGGAAATTCCTGCTGAACCAACTGACAAGACAGAAATCTTGAAAGAAGGAAACAAAATTTTCCTGAAAATTAAGAATGCTGGCCCTGCTGATATTGGAGAATATTCAGTAGAAATTGAAGGTCGCAGATACCCAGCTAAACTGACTCTTGGTGGTAAGGATTTTCTTATTTTCAGTGTTTAATCACCTTATATGTTAAAAATTCCAAAATCTCTAAACAAAAATAAAAATGGTAGTTTGAGTTCTTGTAAAGCTTTATCAATACTTGATCTAATTACATATCTGCTAATTTGTGCATTCTAGAACGTGAAGTTGAACTTCTCAAGCCATTAGAGGATGTTACAGTTTACGAGAAAGAAACAGCAAACTTCGATACAGAAATATCAGAAGAAGATATTCCTGGTGAATGGAAGCTGAAAGGTGAAATCCTGCGACCTTCACCTGTAAGCATCCTTGAATATAACAACATAGCTTACTTAAAATTAAACACTGTGAGCAGGTTCACTTAAGTTTTTGTAATAAAATTTTTGCAGACATGCCACTCGTACTCAGTCCAGAATGTAGAAAGACTAAACATTTTGGTGATTAAAAAAATGTGGTTCTCAAAGTAAGGATTATATGCCTTAAGGCTATCTTTTGAACTGCTTATTTTTTTAAAAGATAATGGTATATTATTCAGATGATAATAGGTATAATTTATGTACATCACAGGGAACAGTATATTTAAAAGGGTAGAAAGCTGAATAAATGCACTTTATTTTTTTAATTGTCATTTTTTAGTAAGTTAATTTTTTGAGAAATAATTCCAGTCTTTCTGACTCTATAGTTATCAAATGTTAGTGGAATTTCTTTATTTAAAATGTCTAAAAGTAATGAATTTGCATAATATTTACTAAAGTCTGTCATCCCTGCAGACATGTGAAATCAAAGCTGAAGGAGGAAAACGCTTCCTAACTTTGCACAAGGTCAAGCTAGAGCAAGCTGGTGAAGTCCTTTACCAAGCACTTAATGCAGTTACTACAGCTATCCTGACAGTGAAAGGTACAATGCGCTGTGAAATGAAACACAACATCAACTTTTCAGAAGTTCTGAGCACGGATACAAATAATGTGTTCTGTTTTGTTTCTAGAAATTGAACTGGACTTTGCTGTTCCCCTAAAAGATGTCACTGTCCCTGAGAAACGCCAAGCAAGATTTGAATGTGTCCTTACCAGAGAAGCCAACGTTATATGGTCTAAAGGCACTGATATACTGAAGATTGGAGAAAAGTTTGACATCATTGCAGATGGAAAGAAACATATTCTTGTAATCAATGATTCTCAGTTTGATGATGAAGGAGAATACACTGCTGAAGTTGAAGGCAAGAAGAGCACTGCAAGACTGTTTGTTGAAGGCAAGTAATTTATGAACAGAATGTTACAAAATTATGTATATATAACGCATGTATAGTATCACATTAGCTTTTTTTTTTTCTGTTGATACTTATGCGTGCTTTATTTTCACCCTACAGGTGTGAGGCTGAAGTTCATCTCACCTCTACAGGATCAAACAGTGAAAGAAGGAGAAACAGCTCACTTTCAGTTTGAGCTTTCTCATGAAGACATGCCAGTGAAATGGTACAAAAATGATAAGAGACTCCATACAAGCAGAACTGTTCTTATTTCTTCAGAAGGAAAAGTTCATAAACTAGAAATGAGAGAAGTAACACTTGATGATATCTCTGAAATCAAAGCTGTAGTCAAGGACATGAACACACAAGCAAACCTCAAAGTCTTAGGTAATTACTTAAATATAAAATACACTATATTATAACTACAAGCAATGTTTTTAAGTAGAGAGTGGCAAAATAATACATTTGTATCACTAATTTAATGTTTTGTATTCAATATCCCTTTTGTAGAGGCTGATCCATACTTCACTGTGAGATTGCAAGACTACAGTGCTCTGGAGAAAGATGATGTTACTCTGCAGTGTGAGCTTAGCAAAGATGTCCCAGTAAAATGGTACAAAGATGGTGAAGAACTAGTTGCTTCAAGCAGAATTTCCATAAAAACAGATGGCTTGCGCCGTATCCTAACAATCAAGAAGGCTGCGGAGGGTGACAAGGGTGTTTATGAGTGTAGCTGTGAAACGGACAAGACAAATTGTAACATTGGCATTGAGCGTAAGTCATCATACCTTGGCTAAGGGAGCATACTGAAGCCTTTGTAAAACAAAGTTGATAGAAGATAATAGTTATGTAGTTGAAATATATAAATTAACAATTACCAAGTATATTAAGAAGAGACAACATATATATAAATGGCTGTTGTAAAGTCAGTGATTCTCATTTTTGCATCTGTCCATTTACAGTCAGGAAAAAAAAGCTTAATTAAATATAGCATATCTAACTTAATTATGAAGAAAAACATTCTTGCTGAAAATAACTAAACTTTCAGACATATTGTAGAAAGATGTTATAGACAGCCCAACACTGTATTTTTAAAAAAGAGGTAACATCAGTAGTAGTATTTGAATTCTGTAAAGAAGGGATAAGGAGAGAGTTGAGATCCTTTTCAGTCCTACGTTTGCTATGTTACAAAACAAGTAAGAAAATGTGAACTTTTTTTTTTCCTTTCAGCTCGCTTAATTAAAGTGGAGCGCCCGCTGTATGGAGTGGAAGTATTTGTTGGTGAAACAGCACGTTTTGAAATTGAGATTTCTGAGCCTGATGTCCACCCAATATGGAAACTGAAGGGAGAGACCCTAACGCCTTCACCTGTGAGACTGCTGCTTTATTCTCAGACAATAATTTATGCTAGGAAAACATATTTGATTATAAAGTTTGCTGAGTAGTTTCTTGGAATACCTATATTTCAGGGGTTCTTTTTTCTTTATTACCAGGAATGTGAAATCATTGAAGATGGGAAGAAGCATATTCTCATCCTTCATAACTGCAAACTAGATATGACTGGAGAAGTGTCTTTCCAAGCTGCTAATGCTAAAAGTGCTGCCAATCTGAAAGTGAAAGGTAAGGCTTGCACTTTGTCAAAATGTGTATCTCAGGGCACTAGAACAAATCTAGCGGTAGCAATTTCTATATAAATTACTGCTGAACTGAAAGTACTCTTCTTTGATTTCAGAATTGCCTCTCATCTTCATTACTCCACTAAGTGATGTGAAGGTCTTTGAGAAGGATGAAGCCAAGTTTGAATGTGAAGTGTCCAGAGAGCCCAAGACTTTCCGCTGGTTAAAAGGAACACAAGAAATCACTTCTGATGAAAGATTTGAAATAATTTCGGATGGGACAAAGCATGCTCTGATTATTAAATCTGTTGCATTTGATGATGAGGCTAAATATATGTTTGAAGCTGAAGATAAAAGAACAAGTGCCAAGCTAATTATTGAAGGTTTGTTTGCCTTTATAGGAAAGAGTTGTGACATAGTTGTTCTTGAACTGTTTTTATTCACAGTATTTTTACTAATGAAATATTTTATTGACATAGGTATTCGCCTGAAATTCATTACTCCTCTCAAGGATGTAACAAAAAAGGAGCGAGAAACTGCAGTGTTCACAGTGGAACTCTCTCATGAAAATATCCCCGTTATCTGGTTCAAGAATGACCAACGGTTACATACCAGTAAAGTGGTTTCAATGACAGATGATGGCAAATTTCATACACTCACAATCAAAGATCTTACTATTGATGATACTTCTCAGATTAGAGTGGAAGCTATGGGCAAATCCTCAGAAGCTAAACTCACTGTTCTGGGTAAGCATACCCAAAAAGATTTTATATGATATATTATTATCAGAAGAGTCTTTCTAATGAAAAATCAGAAGGTCTTGTAATATGTTTGGTTTGGCAAGGGTTGGGTTTTTGTGTGTTTTTTTTTTTCTATCTAAACCTATTCTACGGTGTTTTACAATTTGCTTGTCTTCCACTGGGCTTCATTTACCCTTCACAAGGGATGATTAAAATAACTTTGAGCTTTCATCTAGGTGTGGCAAAATTAGCTATAAAATACTACTTATATGGTGCTCTGAAGCTCCTAAAAAGAGCGAAATCATTTTGTCAGCAATACGAGTAATACACTGAAATGCTTCTTAGATATTTGTTTTCTCTTTTTGCAGGAAACTATGCAATAATAATTAGGACTATATTTTATTGCTCTTAGAAGGCATAAACAGGAAATGTATTTACAGTAAGAATCATTGTCCTTTCACTTGCAGAGGGAGACCCTTACTTCACTGGGAAGCTTCAGGATTACACAGCTGTAGAGAAAGATGAAGTGATTTTACAGTGTGAAATCAGCAAAGCAGATGCCCCAGTGAAATGGATGAAGGATGGCAAACCAATTACTCCATCAAAGAATGTTGTTATTAAGGCTGATGGTAAAAAGAGAATACTTATACTGAAGAAAGCTTTGAAGAAAGACATTGGACAGTATACTTGTGATTGTGGTACCGATCAAACCTCTGCTAACCTCAATATTGAAGGTAGGGCTGGGTTGCTATGTCAAAGTAGTCTGTTGGGATCCACTACAGACTGACAGAATCAATCTTTCTTTTTTTCTTTCCGCTCTCCAGACAGAGATATTGAAATCATCCGTCCACTATACAGTGTGGAGGTGATTGAGACAGAGACTGCCCGTTTTGATATTGAAATATCTGAGGAAGGTGTCCATGGCAATTGGAAGCTAAAAGGAGAACCCCTGACTGAATCACCTGTAAGCATATGTTTTAGGTTCTTTCTTGTATGTTACTTAACAATTTTACATGTAGCTGGAATGTGAGGGAGAAGCAGACGGTTGCAGAAATTAAGTGAAAATTCATTCCACTTTCAGTAAGGGTAACTGTTGTAAAAATAGTGTAATTTTCAGTAATAACTTTAAAAATGTAATAGAAATCAGTACAAAATATCATATGAAATAGGTAAATAATAAATGATTTTACATAAATACACTCTCTATTGCCAGTTCCTAAAAATCAAAATGCAGAGACCTTATGAAGTTCTGTTAAATGTGATAGCATTTGAAAACATATACTTTAGATTCTGTGGGTTTTTTTGTTTGTTTTGAGTTATGTTTGTTATAAATAGATGTAGATCGCATTTTCATACTCTTCATTATTGCTATGACAGCTAAAAATTATTTAAAATGGTATATGGCTTAATTAAATATTATTAACACTTTACTGGTAAGATCTGGAAGTTTAAAAATAAGTACAGTCATGACAGGAAATAATTTGGCAATGTTTGATGTTACAGTGCAGATGTGAATAATCAAAATGATCAAAAGTTCCATGAAAATCAGTGTCTGGATGAAAGAAACCTTCTCAAGAACAGATCACAAAGGAAGCTTACCTTACCATTTCCTATTTATCTCTGGCCTTCTGATTGGTCTGCATATGAATGCATTGGCTAATCCATCAGCGCATACATGCCACCCTCATAAATACACTGCCTCTTGCACTTTTTCCAGATTGCATTAGAAAGGAGGAAAAAAAAAGGGAGCAGACTATGAATGAATGTTTATGGAGTATGTTATGGGCAGTGGGCCTGAGTTTTCTGAGTGTAGGAGAACATAACAGATGCATGGTCTGAGGAGAAGTATGGGCTGATCTGCTGAGGAACAGAAACAAGATACTGGAAAAAATTATTTCACTTTTCTTTTTGAAGGACTGTGAAATTAAGGAGGAAGGCAAAAAGCACTTTCTTACCTTGTACAATGTACGTTTAGATCAAGCTGGGGGAGTAGATTTCCAAGCAGCAAATGCCAAATCTGGTGCTCACCTTCGAGTGAAACGTAAGTATCTTTGGAACACTTATGAACGTATGAATGTTTTATGTACTCAAAACTTCTTTAGTATGAGTGGACAAATCTGTATATTGTAATCTACCCAAGCCAATTATTTCTAGAACAAGTAGCTCAAGCTACCCTTTTTATCCTTTAATTAAAGAATGTTGATATTTAGTTAGTTATTATAACACTGGATATAGTTTATTTATATAGGTGTAGAAAAAGTAAAAAGATGGCTGTGAATGCTTCTTCATGATCTGGCATCGTGTAGTTATGAAATCAAAGTATCACAGCATCAGGCTTTGCAGCATTAAAATATCACGTTAACCTGAGAAGATGGGATCACAGTGATATTTGGAGATAGGGTTAAGATCGTGATGGACAGGGACAGACCACATGGTTGAAGACCACTTGTTTCCTACTCCAATCCTAGCCCTCGCTATTTTGGAAAACACATGCCTTATCTAGCAAGAGGCATGCAAGGCTTGGCAGAGAGACAGATGCACAGCAACTTTCCTGCTGACCTTGTTCAATTTAAAGAAGCGTGCTCTGCAAATAGGAAATTTTTGGTCACTAGCCCTTCCCCTAAAAACCCAGGGTGGCCCCTTCTATTTAGAGAATTAAAAGAGCGGCACTGCAATGTCTGTCTCTCTTGAGGGAAGCCACCATGGAGATTAGTACATAAGGGCAGCAGTTCTCTCTTGGGTAGAAGTGACTAATCTGAAAATGATGTCGTCTTCTTACCAAGCTCGAGTAATAGGCTTGCTGAGACCTCTCAAGGATGTAACAGTGACAGCTGGGGAATCTGCAACTTTTGATTGTGAACTCTCTTACGAGGGAATCCCAGTAGAGTGGTACCTGCAAGGAAAGAAACTGGAGCCCAGTGATAAGGTAGGGAGACTAAACTTTATTTTCCCTTGTGTTTCTTCGTCCTTCTTCACTTTCACCTCTCTTCCACTTTTTTATTTATTATTTATATATACATGTATTTTTTAATTTACTTTCTGCTAGTAGAGATAGTAAGGCACAGCACTGCTGTTGTGTTGAATGGTAACTTCTCACAGACTCAGAATGGAATATTTTACCTGGAAAAGAAGGAGAATGTGGAATACTACAAGTATGTTTTGTACAAAGGGAAGCTAAGACTTTAGTTCCTGATTCTGTGCAAGATGCTGTTGCAGGGATGATGAATTATTTTTCCTCTGGTTAATTGTAGCTACTGTGAGAGAGTTTTGAAAGGTGCTTTCAGGAAATGTTTCTTTTCTTGAATGCTGAGTTGCAGTCCAATTCTGCATATAAGGGGATTAAGAGGATTCAAATTCCATTTCAGGCATTTGTTCTGGCACTCAAGATAACTTTCTGAATAGATTTGCTTGTCCAGCACTTCTCACTAACTATTTTTAACCCTTCATCAAGTGCTGGCTCTTAACTTTGAGATCTGAGCGGTCTGGAATGTAGCCAGTTTAACATTTAAAGTTAATGGAGGGGGGAAATTAATGTAGGAAGCATAAAATAAAATAGGTATGACTGGTTTTAGGACTACTTTTTTTTTTACATGTTAGCTCTTCTACATGAGAAGGAATGAGAATATAAATGGAGATGTAAATCTCAGACAAAACAAACCTTCAAGGGATCATAGAATGTAGCAAAGTTTCAGAACCTGTAGTTATGCTCCTAATGATACTTCAGTATATATTTTTTACTTTTAAATGTAGTTTTAACAGATTGTATTCAGTTTTGGGAAATAGATCTTCCTGAGCTTTACCAAATTTGCTTAAGTGAAATCTAAATCATTAAAACATATAGAAGTAAGATAAGAAAACAATTATCAGAGGAGTGACAATCCAATTTACTATATTTATGAACAGATAGGCACAAAATTGAAACTCAACAGATGGGACATTTAGTAAACCAAAGTGATCACTTCTGAGTTTAGAAATAAAAATGTGGAAAACTATTAATCACTGCTATGGCTTGGTATTTATTACTGCCTGGCAAGTTATCACAAACTTAATATTTTTAAATGATCCTTTCAATTACTTGAGAAAATTCTAGATTTTTATTCAGCTTGCATATCTACTTAAAACTGTCATTTTTCTTCAGCTGAAATTTGTGAAGGAAAGTTTATGTAGAGGTAGCTAATGAAAATGCATGATTACCAAGAATTTTCAACTGTAAATGAACAGTGATATTTTTTTCAGGCAAAATTTTCTATGAAATTTAATAATAGAAAGTCAAACTAGCACTTGAAAAAGAGTGTGTGTGGGGGGGGAGACCAAGCTGCTTTATATTTCTGTACAGTTTTTTACTTCAGATGTAGACAGAAGTGATAGCATAAGCATAAACATAAAAGTTCAGATTTTTGTAAGTGAAAAGACAAAACAGAAATGATCCTCAAAATCCTCAGAAGATTTTTATTTTGAGCTATATTTATCATAAGTATAAGGAAATTATCTGAGCTTCATTTAGAAGGAAACAAAAAAAATCTGTAGACAATAGGAAAAAAAAAAAAGCTATTTCATTAAGTGTTCCTCAAATCTTTGTTGTAGATACTTACAAAAGTATTTTTTTATGTACTTTATAAGGTTGTCACACGTGCTGAAGGGAGAGTTCACACACTTATTCTTAGAGATGTCAAGTTAACAGATGCCGGAGAAGTGTCACTGACTGCAAAAGATTTCAGAACTCAAGCAAATCTTTTTGTGAAAGGTAAGTCAGTCATTTTGATTATACCATAGCCAGTGTTAACAGACCATTCATGTTTCACCCCACAAAAGGATGTCAGCATACACCATATATCAAATTAGAAGGCTCATATATACAACATTAGAATGGTAAATAAATTTCCTTACTAAAAATACCCCTTTGAAATCTTGATGTTTCATGGAAGAGTTGAGAAAATGATGAAATAGTGAAATAGTGAAAATATGACAGATGTGGGAGATCAATCAGTTCTTTAGGGTTTCTACAGCTTCACTGCAGATTTGAACGTTCAAGTGGCCTCAGTATGACACACCAATACCATATCTAGTTAAGACTTGCTTTTAGTCTTTCAAGTATCTGGAAAACTATGAAAAAAAAAACCTTCAGCAGAGAAGTTCAAGAGTGCTGTTGATTGTTCAATTAAAAAAAAAAAAAAAAACAACAAAACTGAGCAGAATGGAACAGTTCTGTACTAGCAGAAGGCCAGATGTGATTTAGATCTTTTCTACCAAAAATCTGTCTACTTTCAGAACCCCCAGTTGAATTTACTAAACCACTTGAGGATCAGACTGTCGAAGAGGAGGCCACTGCAGTACTGGAATGTGAAGTTTCCAGGGAAAATGCAAAAGTGAAATGGTTTAAAAATGGAGAAGAAGTTCATAAAACAAAGAAGTATGATATCATTTCTGAAGGCAGAGTCAGAAGACTCATTATCCATGGCTGCACACTGGATGATGCAAAAACATATACCTGTGATGCCAAAGATTTTAAGACATCATGTTTTCTCAATGTTGAACGTAAGTAGATTATAATTTTCTATGGAGTAAGTGTATAGACACTAGTACTATGATAAGCAATAAATCATAATATACATTTCAGTAATTTATTTTGCTTTATCTGGGGTTTTCCTCTACTAAAAATTCTGTGCTTTTTTTGTAGCTCTTCGTGTTGAGTTCCTGAGGCCACTAACTGATCTTGAAGTTAAAGAAAAAGAGTCTGCTCGGTTTGAATGTGAAATTTCTCGGCCAGGTGTCAAGGTCAATAATATTTTCATTTTTTTAAATTTGAGTAGTTCCTTCAACTAGAGCTTTTACTTAAAATTGTTGCAAAAGAACACACAGCTGAAATCTGTGCTGAGCATGTTAATTTTAGTAACCATATCAATTTGTTTTAAAACAGGTGAAGTGGTTCAAGGATGGCATTGAAATTAGAAAAGGCAAGAAGTATGATATAATTTCCAAAGGGGCAGAACGTGTTCTTGTTATTAGTAAATGTCTCTTTGATGATGAAGCTGAATATGCCTGTGAAGCCAAAACAGCTAGAACTTCTGGCCTACTTACAGTGATAGGTAAATGCATTATTTTCATAATTTCATCTGTAAAGAAGAAAAAATGTTGTTTTGATGTAAGATCTTATTTGGTTTTCCAAATTCTTTTTTGCAGAGGAAGAAGCTGTTTTCACAAAACATCTTCATGATCTTGAAGTAAATGAAAATGAGACTGTAAAGTTGATCTGTGAAGTCTCAAAGCCTAATGCTGAAGTTACTTGGTTTAAAGGAGATGAGGAGGTGCCTGATGGTGGTAGATTTGAATACATTTCTGATGGCCGAAAGAGAATTCTTGTTATACGTAATGCTCATCCTGAGGATGCTGGCAAATATACTTGCAAACTACCAAGCTCTAGTACAACAGGAAAACTTACTGTACATGGTAAGAGTTACTTTTTTGTCTCTGTTCTGAAAAAAGAGATCAATTAGATCAATACATTTTGGTTTATTCTCTTTATAAAAAGAGAAATATAAAGATAGATATCTACAAATTTGTTTATTTATTTATTTATGTATTTATTTATTTATAGAACTTGCTGCAGAATTTCTTACCAGACCACAAAATCTTGAAGTTCTTGAAGGAGACAAAGCTGAATTTGCCTGTTCAGTATCCAAAGAGGCAATTACAGTACAATGGCTGTGGGGTGACACAGTCCTGGAACCTGGTGATAAGTACGACATCATTTCAGATGGCAAAAAGAGAACACTTGTGGTTAAAGACTCCATTATAGGAGATGCAGGAAAGTACACTGTCAAGGTTGGTGAAGCTAAAGCTACAGCACGCCTGACAGTGATTGGTAAGTTTTGTTTTATCATTGTGAATATTTTATTGCATTTCTTGTACAACATGATTTATTACTTCTTCCATTTTTTCAATTTCAGAAAAACTCAGGATTGTAACTCCCCTTAAGGACCAAGAAGTTAATGAGGGTCAAGAAATTATCTTCAACTGTGAAGTAAATAAAGAGGGTGCCAAAGAGAAGTGGTACAAAAATGGCGAGGCAATATTTGATAGTGCAAAATATATTATTGTCCAGAAGGATTTAGTTTATACTCTCCGAATCAGGGATACACAGTTGAAAGATCAAGCAACATACAGTATCTCACTGTCAAACCACAGGGGGGAACATGCCGAGAGCTCTGCTGCCTTAACAGTATTAGGTAAAAAGAACTTTCACTATATTACAGCTATTCAATGACCATTGTTTTGATTTCACAGGATGTAAATTAATCATGTTTTTTTTTTTTTTTTTTTTTTTTTTAATTCTTAATAGAGGAGGATCTTAGAATTGTTGAACCCCTTGAAGACATTGAGACCATGGAAAAGAAAACTGTCACATTCTGGTGCAAAGTCAATCGTCTTAATGCAACTCTCAAATGGACAAAGAATGGTGAAGAGATCACCTTTGACAAGCGTGTTCTGTATAAAATTGATAAATACAAACACTCACTCATCATTAAAGACTGTGGCTTTAAAGATGAAGGTGAATACACTGTAACTGCTGGACAAGACAAATCTGTTGCAGAACTTCTCATCACAGAAGCACCAGCAGATTTCATTGAACATCTCCAGGACCAGACCGTCACTGAATTTGATGATGCTATCTTTACCTGCCAGCTTTCCAAGGAGAAAGCTAGTGTAAAATGGTACAGAAATGGCAGAGAAATCAAAGAAGGCAAAAAGTACGCATATTTTATTATGCTTGTACATATGTTATTTGTATTCACTTTCTGTCTTTATCTGGAAATTAAAATACTGCTTACTTATTTTCTCTCCCATAAAGATATCAGTTTGAAAAGGATGGAAATCTTCACAGATTAATCATAAAAGACTGTAGACTAGATGATGAATGTGAATATTCCTGTGGAGTGGATGACAGAAAATCTAGGGCAAGACTTTTTGTTGAAGGTACTTGTAAAATTAAGTAGGATTAATTTCTTCATTATTTAGTGATAGTAGAAATGATAGACAAATAACCCCAAATGAATTGACATTCATTTCAGAAATCCCTGTGGAGATTATTCGACCACCACAAGATGTTTATGAAGCTCCTGGTGCAGATGTCATCTTCATGGCTGAACTGAACAAAGATGGTGTGGAAGTCAAGTGGCTGAGAAACAACATGATTATCATCCAAGGTGACAAACATCAAATGATGAGTGAAGGAAAAGTCCATAGGCTGCAGGTGTGCGAGATAAAGCCTCGTGACCAAGGAGAATACAGATTTATTGCTAAAGATAAGGAAGCAAGAGCTAAACTTGAATTAGCTGGTAAGTTGTCTGTTTCATACTTGTTTTATAAAATGTAAGATGAGTGAAATAAGTCTTCAACTAAATTTTGTTTTTCTTCTTTCAAAGAGTTGCATTAAAAAGAATATGCAATTAGGCATATGCTGTTGAGGAAATTAGAGGACGCTTTTCATTGTCTACAGTAAAGAGCGAGAATTGAGGTTTACAGAAGACAGAACCATTTCATTTGGTCACTGCAGATGTGAAAAGCAAAAGTTATTTGACATGATCATTTTAGTTACATGAGTTATGGCTTCATTCGTTCAACTTCAGACCAGTAAATTACATTAAATTAATGCTCAAAAAGCAGCTCCCTCTTCCCTGACTTTATAGGAGGGCCGATTTTCTTGCTCTCTGGAGCAATGTAATGAATACATAAAGAAACTTGTTTGGAATTCACATAACGGCTCCTTTTGTTTTTCTACTCCTTTGCTTCTACTTCTTTGCTTACCACACATTATTCTTTTAATATGGAAGTACTCATTTGTCACATTGATATTCCTTAGCTGCACCTAGAATCAAGACTGGTGATCAAAACCTGGTGGTTGATGTTGGGAAGCCTTTAACTATGACTGTTCCATATGATGCCTACCCAAGAGCAGAAGCTGAATGGTTGAAAGGGGAGGAAAGTCTACCAACAACAACTGTTGATACAACAACTGACTGTACTACCTTCAAAATTTATGAAGCAAAGAAATCAGATAAAGGAAGGTACAAGGTTGTACTTCGAAACAAACATGGACAGGCAGAAGCTTTCATCAATGTAAAGGTCATTGGTAAGTGCTCCTATTATTAAATTTTTACTTACATTTAGTTAAGCCAAATAAAATAAAAAGATGCAATCACCTAAATTATTGTTATATATTTGTTAGATGTTCCTGGGCCAGTTAGAAACTTGGAAGTCACTGAAACTTATGATGGTGAAGTTGGCCTTGCCTGGCAAGAACCAGAAAGTGATGGTGGAAGTAAAATCATTGGCTATGTTGTTGAAAGGCGTGATATCAAGCGTAAGACTTGGATTGTGGCCACTGATCATGCTGAAAATTGTGAATACACTGTTACTGGACTTCAGAAAGGAGGAGTTGAGTACCTCTTCCGTGTAAGCGCACGGAACCGAGTGGGTACTGGTGAACCAGTAGAAACAGAGAGACCTGTGGAAGCTAAAAGCAAATTTGGTGAGCAGAAGTTATGAAAAATTTGGTGTTTGATGACAGCATGAAAGAAAAACAAAACATTACTTACTGTAACAATAGATAGAGAAACAACCTTGTTTTTTCTTTTTCTCCATAAAATGAAATGCAGATGTTCCTGGTCCTCCTCAAAATGTAGAAGTTACTGATGTGAATAGGTCTGGTGCTACGCTTACCTGGGAAGTTCCTGAGTATGATGGAGGATCTCCAATTACTGGCTATGTTATTGAACTGCGTAACAGAGGTTCCATCAAATGGGAGCCAACTATGACCACTGGAGCTGATGAACTGTCAGCTGTCCTGACTGATGTTGTGGAAAATGAAGAATATTTCTTCAGAGTTAGAGCTCAAAATATAGTTGGAGTTGGCAAACCAAGTCATCCTACACGTGCAGTGAAGATTATGGACCCAATTGGTAAGCATGCCAGCGCTACTATGATTGCATTTGCTTATTTAAATATTACGTGTACTGGAATGTTCCAAGAAGCAATTAGAGAAATGTGTGTACTGAAAAATAACATATTCAGCTAGGCTTTTCCTAATTTTGATGTTTAAACATTTCAGAAATATCTTACAAGCATTTGGCGCAGTAAGAACTGCCAATATTTTTTATCTGAACTTATGAGACAAACTTTATTTAAAAAATAGAAGGAATGCAACTTTAAAAATAGTACTTTAAGGTACAGACAACTGATATGCTGAACTATACTCCTTTACCAAGTTGCCAAGATGTGTTTCTCTCAAATTATTTTCAGAGAGACCAAGTCCTCCCATTAACCTTGATCATTCAGATCAAACAAAAACATCAGTGCAGCTCACATGGGAGCCTCCACTCGAAGATGGAGGAAGTCCAATCTTAGGATATATTATTGAAAGGAGAGAAGAAGGAACAGACAAATGGATCCGCTGTAACCCAAAACTAGTACCAGCGCTTACTTTTAAGGTGAGATGCTTGGCTCATCAGCAAAGTACTACAAAAAAAATGTATAGTTAATTTTTAATGAGTTACTAAAAATTATTTGTGCTTTTTAGGTAACTGGATTGAAAGCAGGGTCTAGCTATTACTACAGAGTCTCAGCAGAAAATGCAGCTGGGGTGTCTGATCCAGCTGAGGCTATTGGACCATTAACTGCAGACGATCCTTCTGGTAAGCTATGTGCTTTTCATCAAAGATAATTAATTAGAAAAGATGCACAGCTGAAGTTCATCTTGTGGCTCGGATGTATGTGTTTCTTCTGTGATTCTAAATAGCAGAAAAAGCTTTAGTCCTATGAGATTCTGGATTATTTCTCTTCGTTAAGAATCCCACCAATAATTAGCTGTATTAGGTAGAGACCTGTTAGGTTGCCTGGAGAGTAAGATGTGACCTTTTGTCTCCTGACCTAGATATGTGGAAGATGGGAGATATCTGAGGGAGAGAAAGTCAGGGAATACACAAAAGAAATCATGAAGTTCTTACTTTAAAGAATAGGTTAGATTTCTTATCTATTAATTCTAAAATATCACATATTTCTAACAGATTTTTAGCTGGGAAAGGGAGGAATTTGTAAGCTACAACTAGGCCTAGACAGCTACAACCTGTTGGCTCAGATGCACTCAGAATCACCCTTTCAAAACAGCTATCATTAGTCATTTTCAGAACATTTGAAAATATTTAATGAAATTCATTTTCCATTTTTTCAGTTGGACCTACAATGGACCTAAGTGCATTTAAAGATGGACTAGAAGTTATTGTTCCAGAGCCAATAAAGATCCATGTTCCTATCACTGGCTACCCTATTCCAACTGCCACATGGTCTTTTGGTGAGCAAGTCTTAGAAGAAGGTGATCGTGTAACAATGAAGACCACTGCTGCCTTTGCAGAACTTGTAATTACTCCAAGCGAACGTCCAGACAAGGGAATTTATACCTTAACATTAGAAAACCCTGTATCATCTGTTTCAGGAGAAATCAATGTTAACGTCATTGGTAAGTGGACATGTATATATTCTAATATTAACATTATTAGATTAATACAGTAAAATCACATAACTTTCAGTAAGCCAAGAGTATTAAAACATAACTACAAATTAGAAATTAAACCCCCCAAAAGCTTTTTTTTTATCTTCAACAGCCAGCTGTTTACTATTTTAGGAAGAATAACTGAGTACAGCAAGTTTTTTGGCAGATAGATAAAATAAAGATCATCTGACAATGTCTGGTTAGAAAATAATAAAATGATTGTGATTTCCAGCTCGCCCAGGTGCTCCAAAAGAACTTAAAGTTGTAGACGTAAGCAGGAGTACAGTACAGCTGTCATGGGAACCTCCAGAAGATGATGGTGGAAGTCCAGTTATTGACTATATAATTGAAAAACGTGAAGTAAGCCGGAAAACATGGATCAAGGTATGTTCATTCTTTATCATTCCTTTTGTATTTGCTATATTGTTTCCACATGTGCTGCTGAATTTTGTCATAGTTTTGTAATAACTCTTTGGAAATAGATTTTAGAAGCACAATGGATTCTTCCTTCACTTTAGGTTATGGATCATGTCGTGGACCAAGAGTTCTCTGTACCTGACCTCATCCAAGGAAAAGAATATTTATTTAGAGTTTCTGCACGCAATAAGTGTGGCCCAGGAGAGCCTGCATATATTGATGAACCCATAAATATGTCAGCACCAGCAAGTGAGTCAACTTTTTTAGACTTGCTCATTTTCTTGGTGACTGTCTTTGAAAATCTTGCTGATTTTTCTTTCAACAATATGTTAAAAATAATAAATAAATAAAAATATTAAACCAACTAAAAAAAAAAAAAAAAAAAAAAAAAAAAAAACAAAAACCAAATGAACAAAAAACCAGTTCCTTAGATTGTTTTCTAAGATACCGTATGTATTTAATTTTTAATAGCGGTGCCCGATCCACCTGAGAATGTTAAATGGAGAAATCCAACTTCAAAAGGAATCTTCCTAACATGGGAACCTCCCAAATATGATGGTGGTGCTCGCATCAAGGGCTATCTGGTAGAAAAATCACAACGTGGCACAGATAAGTGGGAGATATGTGGGGAGCCTGTTATTGAAACAAAGTAAGTAATTTCACACTATAGTTACAACCTTTTAACTAACTGTACCATCCAAGCCTCTTTAAAAATTTGTATTTTTTTTTTTAACAAACAGAATGGAAGTAACAAAACTTAAGGAAGGAGAGTGGTATGCATATCGGGTTAAGGCTTTGAACAGAATAGGAGCAAGCAAGCCAAGCAAGCCAACAGATGATATTCAGGCCATTGACGCGAAAGGTAATTACTTCTATCAATTACAATAGCCACCTCATTTTTACTAGTCTCTGAAATATTGTTTCTATAACAATGTTTCAATTGTCTCCTAAATCAGAGGCTCCAGAAATTTTCTTAGATGTGAAACTGCTCGCTGGACTCACTGTGAAAGCTGGAACTAAAATTGAGCTGCCGGCCAAAATAACTGGAAAGCCTGAGCCCCGAATTACTTGGACCAAGGCCGAAAAAATACTGAGACCTGATGATAGAATCACTATTGAAACGAAACCTGGTCATTCTACAGTCACTATTACAGACAGCAAGAGGAGTGACAGTGGAACCTACATTATAGAAGCTGTAAATTCCAGTGGACGTGCTACAGCTGTTGTTGAAGTTAATGTTCTCGGTATGCACATTTTTTTTATTATTATTAAAAGCATGAGTAATGTATTGAGATATGCAAGCAGAAGATTAACGTTTTCATCCTATCTCCTACAGATAAACCTGGTCCACCAGCTGCATTTGATGTATCAGAAATCACTAATGAATCCTGCCTTCTGACATGGAATCCTCCCCGAGATGATGGAGGTTCTAAAATTACTAACTATGTCCTTGAGAAAAGAGCTACAGACAGTGAAATATGGCATAAATTGTCATCAACTATCAAGGACACTTCATTCAGAGCTACCAATTTAACTCCTCATAAGGAATATGTGTTCCGAGTCAGTGCTGAGAACATGTATGGTATTGGGGAGCCAGTACAGTGTAACCCCATCATTGCAAAATATTCCTTTGGTAAGTGAATTAAATATTAAATTTTGAAAATGTTGAATTTTAACAGCTATGAAAATGCATGTGTAACAGTGTTTTTTTGTTTTGCTTTTTTCATTTATTAATTTATACAGAACCACCAGGCCCTCCAACAGGTCTCAAGCCTATAGAGGTTACCAAAGATTCAGTGACCCTAACATGGAATGAACCAGATGAAGATGGTGGCAGCCCCATTACTGGCTACTGGGTTGAGAGATACGATCCTGAGCAGGATAAATGGATAAAATGCAATAAAATGCCAGTGAAAGATACAACATTCAAGTAAGATATAGACACTTTAGGCTGAAACTGAGATGTAAAAATTTAAAAGTAGCCTTTTAAACAAATGTTACTTCATGACTGTTCTTTTTTCCCTGCTTCTGTAAGTTTAGATTCAACTAATATCCAGTTACATACTTTATCTGGTGAAGAAGTATGTCTTTACAGAAAACTGAATTGTTGCTTATTTTTTCTTTTTTTTCTATTATGCTTACTAGCATCTGTGCTTTGTGATTACTTATAAGACATTCAAAAATAACAAACAAAGCCATCTTCTGCATCAATTTGCCAACATCCCTTTTTTAAACCTGATATTTGCATTAGCTAAAAGTCATACTACAAACAGAAATGTGAGATGACTCTCAATACATCTATCTCTACATCTCAGCACACCATTTTGCTGTTGGCAGTATGCCTATTCTCAATGTTTCATATAGCATCATTAGCTGTAACTTGGTTATTTTCAGATTTTCTAAGTAAATTATAAAGAATATAGAAAATATTGTTTTAGGTAAGAGTTAACATGTGGATTGTTTTAATCAAACTTAATTTTGATTTCCAGAGTTAAAGGTCTTACAAATAAGAAGAAATACAAGTTCCGTGTCTTGGCAGAGAATCTTGCAGGACCTGGAAAACCAAGCAAGGAAACAGAGCCAATCTTAGTGAAAGACCCAATTGGTATAATAAACATATCTTGAATGTTCTAATTTAACAAAAACAAGTTTTTAGGTCTTTTTTTTCAATAATTTAATTAATATTGAACTCTTGTCTAGATCCACCATGGCCCCCTGGAAAGCCAACAGTGAAAGATGTTGGCAAAACATCATTATTTCTGAACTGGACAAAGCCAGAACACGATGGAGGGGCAAAGATTGAGTCTTACGTCATTGAACTGTTAAAGACTGGAACAGATGAGTGGGTGAGAGTGGCTGAAGGAGTGCCCACAACTGAACACTTTCTCAAAGGACTTATGGAGAAACAAGAATATTCATTCCGTGTAAGAGCTGTGAACAAGGCTGGAGAGAGTGAGCCTAGTGAACCCAGTGACCCTGTGCTGTGCAAGGAGAGGCTGTGTAAGTATTGTTTCAGAATGTGCTGTTTCTGCAAGTACACTCAGTCTTTCTTAAAAAGCCTCATGTCTGCCTATCTCTGTAGGCAGCAAGTGAACATTTCCAGACACACTAAATATTAAAATCTACCCTTGTTGATCTAAGAAGTTTTCATAGTTTCAGTATTATTCTCTATCTTCCAGGATCTTTGCTGGGCAAGATAGTAACCTGCTTTTCCTTTTATTATTATTTTACAGTTCCTCCTTCTCCTCCTCGATGGCTTGAGGTTATTAATATTACTAAAAACACAGCAGATCTTAAATGGACAGTGCCAGAAAAAGATGGGGGTTCCCCAATTACCAACTACATTGTTGAAAAGAGAGACGTAAGGAGAAAAGGCTGGCAGACTGTAGATACAACAGTGAAAGATACCAAGTACACAGTGAGCCCGCTGACTGAAGGCTCATTGTATGTCTTCCGTGTGGCTGCTGAAAATGCCATTGGGCAAAGTGACTACTGTGAAATTGAAGATTCAGTGCTTGCTAAAGATACTTTCAGTAAGTTTGAGATTTGCTTTCGGAGTGATTAATGGAATAGCTGACTTCTCATGGATTCCTTTTTTACTAATTTGTGTATGTATTTTGTTTAGCAACCCCTGGGCCTCCATATGCTCTTACAGTAGTTGAAGTGACAAAAGGTCATGTTGATTTGAAATGGGAACCACCTAAGAATGATGGAGGCAGACCAATTCAAAGGTAAGCTCATTTTATGATTGTGTAGCATTTTCTGTGGATTATTTTTCCATAAATGAAGACGCTTCTGTCAACATTTTTAAATTTTAAATGGACATATTTTATATGAAGAAGAGGTGAATTTATGTGACAAGCAACTTTATGGTTGCAGCAAGTACAAGTTTAATTTTAAAAGTGGAAATTATACAAATAGAAATGATCTACTGTGCATAAACAATTAATGTGTGTAAACATCCTCAAAAAAAAAAGGGGGGGGGCAGGATCTAATTAAATGAGATGAAATTGAGTTGTATATACAAAATTAAGCTTTAATGCAGACATAGTCTCCAGCTCTAGGTGGAGCTCTAGCTACTTTTCCTGTTACATTTTTCAACACAACTGTTAACATTTTTCTTCTGCCTGAGTTTCTTAGTAAAACTACATATGTTGAGCTGGTACAAAGCATCATCTTTGTTTTTTCTCTTTATTCCATTTCTCAGACTATTTTCCTCCTTTTGATTTCTTCTAAATTCTCCTTTTCTTTAGTTTCTCAAGTATCTCTTCTCTGAAATTTACCTTGAGTAGCAGTTAGATTTTTCTCTATATATTTTCACTCTTCCTCTTCTTCCCATTCACAGTAAACATATCCTAAACAAACTGACAACTACAAAGATCTGCTTGAAGGAACATAAATCATTTAATCTTTCTTACCATCCCATAGATTATTGTAAACAGAATTCAGATAACTCAAGTATTCAGAGATAATATCTACAGACATTTTCAATAGAACTTATCCACTGCTGTCTGAATTAGCAAATATATAAATATAGCATGGGAGTTTTTCACCTCTGCAGCTCTACAAAACCCAAGAACAGATTTACTCTGTCATCAGCAGCAACCCCATTAGCCTAATAGCTACTAAGGCTATTAGGATTATGTTGCTGATATGTGAAATTATGCTTAGTCTGTCACCATTGACTACCTTTATTTTTCCATTGGCTAAACCATTCAAATCTCACACTATTTTAATGAGCAGGAAATCTGAAATGTTCATATTTGACATTCCTGATACTATTTGTTCCTATTTATTCAGATATGTTATTGAAAAGAAGGAAAAACTAGCCACCCGCTGGGTAAAAGCTGGCAAGACAGCTGGTCCAGATTGCAATTTCAGAGTGACTGATGTCATTGAAGGTATAGATGTACAGTTCCAGGTTCGTGCAGAAAATGAAGCTGGCTGTGGTCATCCCAGTGAACCAACTGATCTCATTCATATTGAAGATCCAACAAGTAAGTAGTATTATAACATACAGCATATGGACTATGGAAGCAGTGTGTTGGCTAGAACAGATAATTGAGTGAAAAATAACACATCTTTTTTATTTTTACAGGCCCTCCTTCACCTCCTCAGGATTTACATGTCACAGATGCAGGTCGAAATCATATTTGCATTGCATGGAAGCCACCAGAGAAGAATGGTGGAAGTCCTATTATTGGGTACAATGTTGAGTTGTGTGAAGCAGGAACAGAAAAATGGATGCGAATCAATTCTCGTCCAATAAAAGATCTAAAATGCAAAGTGGAGGAAGGTGTTGTTCCAGACAAGGAATATGTGCTGAGAGTCAGAGCAGTCAATGCTGTTGGAGCCAGTGAGCCATCAGACATCTCAGAAAAAGTTGTTACCAAGGACCCGGACTGTAAGAATAGATTTTCTTTCTGAAATCTACATAACTGATAACTGAAAAAAGTCTTTAGTGTTCAGTACATTTATAATATTACATTTATTTTTACAGGTAATCCAACCATTGATCTAAAAACTCGTGATATTGTTGTTGTTAAAGGACAGAAATTAAGTATCCCTGTACCCTTCAGAGCTGTTCCATCCCCAACAATCACATGGCACAAAGATGGCAAAGAGTTAAAAGCTGGTGACAGAACAACGATGAAGAGTGACTACACTTCTGCATTGCTTGAAGTCATGGAGAGTGTTCATGCTGATGCTGGCATTTATACAATTACACTGGAGAACAAACTGGCATCAACAACTGGCTCTGTCAACGTCAAAGTCATTGGTAACTAGACATCTTTCATTCTGGGAGAGATGCCTGTCTCTGAGCCCACTAACTGATGGAAGTACTAGAAAATCCCTTTTTTGCCATGTGGATTTATCACTTCAACTCAGACGCTCTGTAAATTGCCTTTATTGCATTAATATAACAAAATCTAACCAAAAATACACTTTATTCTAAATTGATATTACTAGTCTGTGGCTGCATAAAGTCCAATTACTATGAATAATCATCATATAAATTTTGAAAAGCTTATGAAAATTAAGATTTTTTTTTCATCTTTAGGAATATGAGTTCCTATATATGCTTTGTAGCCAGCATTTGTGGGTTTGGTCTGCCTTCTTTAAAGCCAATGAAATGCAGTATCATTTCATATTTGTAGGAATACATTTCCCTTCTATTTAGTTAATTGTTACATTAAATAACTTTATTATAATTACAGGTCCACCTGGACAGTGTAAAGACATTAAGGCAAGCGAAATAACTAAGAATTCTTGTAAGGTAACCTGGGAACCTCCAGACTTTGATGGTGGTACTCCTATTCTGCATTATGTTCTGGAACGCAGAGAAGCTGGTCGTAGAACATATCTCCCAGTAATGTCTGGTGAAAATAAACTCTCATGGCATGTCAAAGATCTTATCCCAAACAGTGAATATTACTTCCGTGTTAAAGCTGTTAATAAAATTGGAGGAGGTGAATATCTTGAACTAAGAAACCCAATTATTGCAGAAGATCCAAAACGTAAGTCTACTACTAAGTGACCTAGCATGCTGAATTTTAACTAAAATCTTCACGTGTTCTTCATTCATGTAATACCTCTTTTGCTGTTGTTTCACAGAGCCTCCAGATCCTCCTGTTGACCTTGAGACCCATAATCCAACATCGGAATCAGTAACTCTTACATGGAAACCACCACTGTTTGATGGCGGAAGCAAGATTATGGGCTACATAATAGAAAAGCTTGCTAAGGGCAAGGATGTATGGGAAAGATGCAATGAATATCTGGTACCTCTATTAACCTATCCAGTGAAAGGTCTTGAGGAAGGGAAGGAATACCAATTTCGTGTTCGTGCTGAGAATGCTGCTGGTATTAGTGAGCCTTCTCGGATTACTCCTTTTGTGAAAGCTGTGGATCCCATTGGTATGAATTGCTTATTTGATTGTTTGTTGTAATTGCCATTCACCCTCAAACATGTGGGTGGATTCTACTCTTCATTTGTCATTGTTATTACAGAGGCTCCCAAAGTCTTCCTTGCTGCAAACCTGCAGTCTGGTCTTGAGGTGAAGAAAGGTGATGAGATCATACTTGAGGCACATATTTCAGGATCACCTTATCCATCTATTACTTGGCTGAGGAATGATGAAGTTATCAGACCAGAGGAAATCAAAAAGAGAGTAACCACATATACTAGGAAGAAGAAGGGTGTAACTGAAGAAGAGGAACCTTTTCAGCTTTCGCTGCCAGAACGTATGAGTATTGACAACCATAAAAAAGGAGAGTCTGTGCTATCAATTCGTGACTCCATCAGAGCTGACCATGGCACATTTACAATTAAAGTGGAAAATGATCATGGTGTTGCAAAAGCGTCCTGTGAAGTTAATGTGTTAGGTATGTAGTGAATGTACTTGTAACCAGCTACTTGTTCAAAGCACTAAGGGAGAAATGAAGTACATTAGTACTCATCATTTTTTCTTGCTTTACTAACAGATACTCCTGGGCCTCCAGTCAACTTTGTATTTGAAGACATGAGGAAAAATTCTGTCATTTGCAAGTGGGAGCCTCCCCTTGATGATGGTGGAAGCGAAATCCTGAACTATGTACTGGAAAAGAAAGACAACACAAAAGCTGAAATAGGCTGGGTTACTATCAGCTCAACACTCAGGCACTGTCAATTCCATGTAACAAAACTGATTGAAGAGAAAGAATATCTCTTCCGTGTATTTGCTGAAAATAGAGTTGGAGCAGGGCCACCATGTGTTTCAAAACCAATGACAGCAAAAGATCCTTTCTGTAAGTTTTAATTTTGAAATACAGTCTTTTCTGAAAACTGCTATTAATTTACAGACTCTTAGAACACTCAGTTTCATCCACATGAGTTTCCCAGAAGAGTACTGGACAATGCAATTATTACTTGTTGCATTTTTTTTAAACCATGAATATAAAGGGAAATATCGAAAAGCATTCTAATTTCAATAGTAAAGAAATAAGAACAGCAGTCGTATTCTTACCAAAAGAGAAAACCCCTGTAAGTTTGATGACTGGTTACAGTTAGGAATCAAAAAGAGCAAGAAAATTAAGACTTCCTTAAAATTAGTAATTTCTCATATTGTTGTTCTCTCTTAGTTCTGAGTAAATTCTGAATAAGACAGCAATGATTACAAAATTGTAATCTTTTTCTTCTAGCTCCACCAGATCCACCTAACAAGCCTAATGTGGAAGATGTTACCAGCAACAGTATGTTGGTTAAATGGAATGAACCGAAAGACAATGGCAGCCCAATCATAGGATATTGGATCGAAAAACGTGAAATTAATGGCACTCATTGGGCTCGAGTCAACAGGAATCTTGTGAATGCTCTGGAACTAAAAGTTGAAGGACTATTGGAAGGATTAACCTATATCTTCAGAGTTTGTGCTGAAAATGCAGCTGGTCCTGGTAAATTCAGTCCACCATCAGATCCAAAAACTGCACAGGACCCAATAAGTAAGTAGCTTAACAAAATGTGCTAGCAGACTAGTGACAGAATAGTATTCATAACCTTTAATTTTGATTTACGTATCTTACTTTATAGTGCCACCTGGTCCACCCATTCCAAGGGTTGCTGATACAACCTCAGTTTCTATTGAGTTAGAATGGGAACCTCCTATGTATAATGGTGGTGGAGATATCACTGGTTACCATGTATACAAACAATTAATGGGAACAAAAGAATGGTCTCGTTGCACAGAGAAACCCATTAAGGTCCGGCAGTATACTGTGAAAGAAGTCAGAGAAGGTGCAGACTATAAACTTCGCGTTACTGCACTTAATGCAGCTGGTGAAGGACCACCTGGTGAAACTGAACCTGTAACCGTTGCAGAACCCCAAGGTATGGCAATTATAGTATTTTGAAAAATTTTCAAGCTGCCTAAAAGCCGTACTTGAATCTTTCCCTTGAACTAATGAAACATCTCTCTTTCTTCTTTAGAGCCTCCTACTGTTGAGCTGGATGTTTCTGTCAAAGCAGGCATTCAGATCATGGCTGGGCAAACAATTAAAATTCCTGCTACTGTGACAGGGCGTCCTGCTCCCACCATTGTATGGACTGTGGAGGAAGGTGAATTGGACAAAGATAGAGTTGTTATTGAAAATGTTGGCACAAAATCAGAATTAACCATTAAGAATGCATTGAGAAAAGACCATGGAAGATATGTAATTACTGCAACAAACAGTAGTGGTTCCAAATCAGCGGGGACCAGAGTAGAAGTATTTGGTAAGAAAAAATATTTTCTGAAATCAGCTTAGCATCTTTTTTGGTGAAATAATCTTTGGGCTTTATCCTACTTGTTTGATTTTATTTTTTTCAGATGTTCCTGGACCAGTACTTGACCTAAAGCCAGTGGTCACAAACAGAAAGATGTGCTTGCTTAACTGGTCTGATCCTGAAGATGATGGAGGCAGTGATATCATAGGCTTTATTGTTGAACGGAAAGATGCCAAAATGCATACATGGAGACTAGCTATCGACACAGAAAGATCTAAATGTGATATTACAGGTCTAGTTGAAGGGCAGGAATATAAATTTCGTGTCAGTGCCAAGAACAAGTTTGGTACCGGTCCAGCTGTTGAAATAGGACCAATTCTTGCAGTTGATCCATTAGGTAAGATAATTTATGACTTATTTATGGTTTTTTTCTTTCTCCCTGTCAGGATAATTTGACTGCCTTTCACAATTTATTTGCTCAGATTTCTGAAACAGAGTGTAGAATTACTGTGTCTCTTTATGTAATAAAATTCTGGTATCTACTGAGATACTGATTGCTGCCATTTCATCTATATATATTAAAAACTTTCTGCTATGCATATACATATTCAAATATTTTGCATATGAAAGATATGGCTTTGAAAAGCCACAGCTATTTTAGCTACTGTAGTCATACAAGTTAAAATATCAGTGGCTACTCCAAAAGTAATGCCTCCTATTTTATGTTGGTCCTGGCCATCAGAGGCAGATGTTGGTGGTATGGCAGTGGAGGTTGAACCTTCCCATCAATATTCTGTTAAATTTTGTTGCCATGTGACAGATGGCAGCAGAGAGAAAATAATAAATAAAATGCTACCTGACAAAGTGCGTATGAAGCAAAGGTATGGGACTGAATTCCTCCTTGCAGAAAAAACTGTCATTTATCTGCACTTGCTGAATGTTTATGGACACTAAATGTTTATGGATGTTAGCACAACAAAAGCTGGACTGCATGGGCAGTATTTTTCTACCAGCCATCACAGCAGCTGTGAAGCAATGTGTTATCTCCTCTAGTTCACATTTTTACAAGCACAGCATGCAGGCTCTTGTTCATAGCTGTCAAAAAAGCAGTTAATGGTGATGACTGTGGAAAAAAAAGTGTTTTGTAGCTGAGAATTTGCTCTATCAAATAATGTTATGCTCTTTATATCTGTTGTAGTTTCCATCGAAATAAATGGGAGGCATTACTTTCAGAGTAACTGACATTATATTTTATATTTTTTTCATTATGATTTATCTGTGTTAATAGGTCCTCCAACAGCACCTGAGAGATTCATGTACACAGAGAGGACAAAGTCAACCATTACACTTGATTGGAAGCCTCCACGTAGTGACGGTGGTAGTCCTATCTTAGGATATATTGTCGAGAAGAGGAGGCATGATTCAAAAGACTATGAAAGAGTGAACCCAAGGCTCTGTCCAACCACATCTCTTCTCGTTGAAAAACTTGATGAACTCCATATGTATGAATTCCGTGTCAAAGCTGTTAATGAGATTGGAGAGAGTGAACCGTCATTGCCCCTCAATGTAGTTATACAGGATGATGAAGGTATATCTAGTTTAAAGAAATCCATATAAACACCTTAAAAATAATGCAATTTCTGTTTCACTCCTAACTTCATTCTTTTTCTGCTTTTCAGTACCTCCCACTGTAACATTACGCTTAGCTGTGAGAGGAGATACTATCAAAGTGAAGGCAGGAGAGCCAGTTAATATTCCTGCTGATGTGACTGGACTGCCAATGCCAAAGATTGAATGGGACAAGAATGAAGTTTTAATTGACCAAACATCCAGTGCACTTAAGATAACAAAAGAAGAAGTATCAAGAAGTGAGGCAAAAACTGAACTTACCCTGCCTGCAGCCACAAGAGATGATAAAGGCACTTACACTGTGAGAGCTACGAATCGTCTTGGCACTGCGTTTCGCAATGTGCATGTTGAAGTGTATGGTAAGGATGTGACATTTCAATAAAATGGTAGATAGTTAGAATGCTTTTGTCTTTTTCTTAATGCAGTTCTATGTTCTCTTACTCTTATATAGATCGTCCTTCTCCACCAAGAAACCTTGCTGTTTCTGATATTAAAGCAGAATCATGCTATTTAACATGGGATGCACCTCTTGATAATGGTGGTAGTGAAATTACCCATTACATTATTGAGAAACGTGATGCTAGTAGGAAGAAGTCAGAGTGGGAAGAAGTCTCCAACAGTGCTGTAGACAGAAGATATGGGGTAATTTTATTATTTTTATGATATACTTCTGTATGACAGCATGCAATAAAAACTGCCTCTTGCGTAGATACCTGTGCTAGTGGTCCATTTATAGTGCATAATTACTGAATGTACATTGCCCAACTGTGAATATACATATTATGTGTATTTTCCTCACGTGACAAAACAAAATAAATTGTTCTCATTCACTATTTAATCTCATGTGAATTTAGAAGACATCTTCTTTTCCATTTTCCAGTATTACTTGTAGCTTTACCAACTGCAAAGTAAAATCTGATGACATTTTTATTTACATTTGATTGTGTGCACGTGAAATAAGACTATCTCTAGGGCACTGCATGCAGCTATGTACTTACATACACGTCATGATATCAGTGAGATTCCGAAGTAGAATACAAAGCTAAAAACCCCTGAATAATAACAAATAAGTTGATTCTGAAAAATAACTACATACTGACTAAAATCTTATTTTTCAGGTGTGGAATCTTGCAACAAATGAAAAATACCAATTTAGAGTCCGGGCTGTAAACAAATATGGAATAAGTGATGAATGCCTCTCAGAAAAAGTTGTTATTAAGGATCCCTATGGCCTTCCTGGACCTCCTGGAAAGCCCAAAATTTTAGATCACACTAGGTCATCAATGCTGGTGGCATGGGAGCCTCCTTTGGACAATGGTGGCAGCCCAATAACTGGCTATTGGTTGGAGAAGAGAGAGGTGGGAGGTGTCTACTGGTCACGAGTTAATAGGGCTCCAGTAACGAAACCATCAGTAAAGGGTTTACAGTACAATGTGCTTCGCTTGGCTGAAGGTGTTGAATATCAGTTCAGAGTTATGGCTGAAAATCTTGCTGGAATTGGCCCACCCAGTGAACCATCAGATCCTGCTTTAGCAGCAGATCCCATATGTAAGTATAAAATTTGCGACTACTTTTAAGATCTGTATCACAATACAATGTGGTACTTCTGTTAACATTGAATTTAGTGCAATTAATCAAATGCTTTGTTTTCATTAAACCAGAACAACGTTGTTGATGCAAAGTAGTTACCTAATTTTCTATTTTTCACTGGTTTTTAAATAATTGGCTTATTTAAACTATTACCCTTTCACTTATAAGCATATAACTATGATTATGCCATCACAAATATTGCCAAGTATATTTGTTTGAGTTCAGTATCAGATTTTTATATAATTGCTTTTCTTCACTGTCAGAGTTCAATGTTTATTGTTTATCTATGTACCTAAAGAATTCCTCGGTAATATATGTAATATATGCAATTATTATGCATGTTCTAGGATTATATGCTCTGTGTATGGCAGAAAAACACTGAAAATGTTTGCATCCTTCTATAAACTCTTAAGAAAACTATACACAAGTACTAACTCTCAGGTAATTTTTGCATTTGCTTGCTCTTGTTTTACAAGTTGTGCCTGGCCCACCATCTTGTCCAGAGATCAAAGACAAAACCAAATCATCTGTATCTCTTGCGTGGAAGCCTCCACAAAAGGATGGTGGTAGCCCAATAAAAGGATATATTGTTGAAATGCAAGATGAAGGTAGTACTGACTGGAAAAAGGTGAATGAAGGAGACAAACTCTTTCCCACTTGCGAATGTGTTATTCCCAATTTGAAAGAGCTCAGAAAATACCGATTCAGGGTGAAAGCTGTAAATGCTGCTGGAGAATCAGAACCAAGTCCTGCAACATCTGACATACCTATCCAAGATATTTTAGGTAAGTGTTGTAGAAACTCATTTAGGTATTTATGTCTAAATGTTATCTACTGCTGTGAATAGTTGAACAGGACATGAAGCAAGAGACAACAGAATCAATAACAAGCAAATAATTGAACAGGAATGTAATAAAAGACTATGAGACTTTTTGGAAAGTGTTATGATAGTGCTTGTAAGTGCATGATCTACTGAGAACACTTACAAGTTCCCACAACCATAGTCCAGAAGTACTTCGCATTTTGTGATGAAATTGCAACAACAAATTTACTTGTATAATTTCCAGTTTACTTTTTACGCACACTACCTTTTCCAAATAAACATACATTCTGTATTTAGTCTAGTTCTGGCAGAAATTTACTTTTGGCAGCTCTGAAAAATTATTAACTAATTTTTTTTTAATTTTGTTTTGTTTTGTTTTTTCAGAGGAACCAGAAATCTTCCTTGATATTGGAGCACAGGATTTTCTCTCTTGTCGTGCTGGCACAACAATTAAAATCCCAGCTGTTATCAAAGGTCGTCCAGTTCCAAAATCATTTTGGGAATTTGAAGGAAAAGCAAAGACAACAGCAAAGGTTAGTAAAAGAAAAAACAATTTTCTTAATCTATTTCTAGACATTTAAGTACATCCCTTTCATATTTACTTTATTCCCTTTATTTATAGGAGGGAGGTCATAATGTACCTGAAGAAGCTCAGGTAAAGCAAGCAAGTTTTGTAACTTTAGTATTGCAAAATTTTTCAAACATAGACATTTAAAGTTGATCTATACATTTCTTTCTTTCTATGATCTACAGGTGGAAGCAACTGATACACGTTCAGTGATAATCATCCCTGAGTGCAACAGAAGTCATTCGGGACGATACAGTATTACAGCAAAAAACAAAGCAGGACAAAAAACAGCTCATATCAGAGTCAATGTTCTTGGTATGGCTTACATACACTGAAATGTTCAGATGGTAGATTGTGGGGTTTTTTTTCCTACATACTTGTGTAACATTGTTTCCGTTATGCTTTTACTTCAACAGATGTCCCAGGTCCACCAAAAGACCTAAAAGTAAGTGATATCACAAGAGGTAGTTGCAAACTTTCATGGAAGATGCCAGATGATGATGGCGGAGATAGAATCAGAGGATATGTTATTGAAAAAAGAACTATTGATGGGAAAGCCTGGACAAAAGTCAATGCAAACTGTGGAAGCACTTCCTTTGTTGTGCCTGATCTCATATGTGGTCAAGAGTATTTCTTCCGGGTACGTGCAGAAAACCGTTTTGGTGTTGGCCCACCTGCAGAAACTATCCAACGAACCACAGCCAGGGATCCAATCCGTAAGTGAAATCAAAATGAATAGAGTTAGTTGAAACCAGATGATACTGTACAGTGAATTTATTTATGTTTCTGTTTCCTTTCTTAAGATCCTCCTGATCCACCTATTAAATTGAAGATTGGCCTTGTAACCAAGAACACAGTGAGCTTGACGTGGAAACCTCCAAAGAATGATGGTGGAGCTCCTGTTACTCATTATAATGTTGAATGTCTCCATTGGGATCGTACTGGAGAAGTGAAAGAGACTTGGAAACAGTGCAATAGACGTGATGTGGAGGAAACAAAGTTTACTGTTGAGGATCTTATAGAAGGTGGTGAATATGAATTCAGAGTCAAGGCTGTAAACATAGCAGGTCCTAGCAGGCCTTCAGCTACTGTTGGTCCACTTGTTGTCAAAGACCAAACGTGTAAGTAGTGGCTAATACCAATAAATATGATTTCTACTCTACAATCATGAATAAAGCATTTTTGTATGCTAACTTTTATCAACATTTCATTGTAGGCCCACCATCTATTGAACTCAAAGAATTTATGGAGGTTGAAGAAGGAACAGATGTTAACATTGTGGCCAAGATAAAGGGCATACCCTTCCCAGCACTAACTTGGGAAAAAGCTTCTCCAAAGAAACCGGATGACAAAAAGCCAGTGTCATATGACCAACATGTCAACAAGATTGTTGGTGAAGATTCTTGCACTTTATTGATTCAGCAGTCTCGCAGAAGTGATACAGGTTTATATACTATAACAGCTGTAAATAATTTGGGAACTGCTTCAAAGGAGATGAGACTAAATGTTCTGGGTAAATATCAAGAACTCTTATGTTACATGTATGTTACATGTGATACTTGATTTGAACAGCGTTTGAATTAATTCTTCTTTAATAAAAATTTATATTTTAGGCCGTCCTGGACCTCCAGTGGGCCCAATTAAGTTTGAATCCATTTTGGCTGACAAAATGACAATATCGTGGCTTCCTCCGTTAGATGATGGTGGTTCTAAGATTACAAACTATGTTATTGAGAAAAAAGAAGCAAATAGGAGAACGTGGGTACCAGTTACAAATGAGCCCAAGGAATGTTTATTCACTATTCCCAAGTTGATGGAAGGCCACGAGTATGTGTTCCGCATTATGGCACAAAATAAATATGGTATTGGAGAACCTTTGGACAGTGAACCAGAAACAGCAAGAAACCTTTTCAGTAAGTGGAAATCTGTTTTCAAATTATGTCAAATATTTTCATACACTGATACGTGTAATGACATCTGATTATATACCACTATTATTTTTCTCCACTGAAGTAAATTCTCTAGAGTAGCTTGAAGAATTTTATCAGTAGTAGTTAGGGGTTGTATGGTATCTAAAAATACTTCCCTGTTAAATATATTGAAATAAAGTCTCTGAATTTATTAAGCTGTAAATTACAAATAAGGTTTTATCTTACAAGATTTAGGTCATTCTGTTGCATTTGAGACATTATTGATATTATAGATCAGGAATTTGCTGCCTTCAGTTTTGAAAGAGAAATTTGAGCAATAGTGATGTAGAAGTAATGTTTATCAAGTGTAAAATATCTTTAAAACATTCAGGATTGGGCTAGGTGTTGAAACGAGGTAATGATCCAGGAAGAAAAAAAAAAAAAAGCAACTTAATTCTTGACCATTGTTATTTGAATGAAAGATACATTACTGTAGTTTCATGGTATATCATGGGATTCATAAGGGAAAAGGGATTGTAAGCTGAATGAGGGAACTCATGCTGCAACTGTAATCACGTGACTACATAGGTCTGTTTTGTACTCTAGGTATCTCCATCTTCCTGTAGCAATTTTTTACAGGCTATCTGTAATTTTTTTCCCCAGCTGTTCCTGGACCATGTGACAAACCAACAGTTAGCAGTATAACACGTGACTCTATGACTGTAAATTGGGAAGAACCAGAACATGATGGTGGCTCTCCTATTACTGGTTACTGGTTGGAGCGCAAAGAAACTACTGGAAAGAGATGGACCAGGATTAATCGTGACCCAATCAAACCTATGGCACTCGGTGTTTCATACAAAGTTACTGGTCTTATTGAAGGTTCTGAATATCAATTTCGTGTATCGGCTATTAATGCAGCTGGTGTTGGACCACCAAGCATGCCGTCTGATCCAGCAATTGCTAGAGACCCTATTGGTAAATATTTTTGTTTGCCATTTTTGAATTTGAAAATACTCAAATGGGACCACAGAATATATTGTTATGCTGTAACTGTGCAATCATCTTTTTCAGCCCCACCTGGCCCTCCTATTCCAAAAGTTACTGATTGGACGAAATCTTCTGTGGACTTGGAGTGGACTCCACCATTAAAGGATGGAGGCTCTAGGATCACTGGGTACATTGTTGAGTATAAAGAGGAAGGAAAGGAAGAATGGGAAAAGGTAGGTGGAAATCCTACAGAATCTGATTTTTTTCCTCTGTATGTCTTATCTTTTCATATGTATGCCTGTATGTCTTTTCTTTTAGATTTTTTATAACTCTATATTTAAAAATAGGACAAAATATGTATGTGATTGGTGATCTGTGATTTTAAAAAAAAAAAAGAACAGAAGAGAAAAACAGGTTATCACAGGCATAATCTCTGTTAAATTATTTACAACTAATATGGCCCCTGCTTTTTTTTTAAAAAAAAAAAAAAAAAAGAATATTTTGGCCATTTTTTGTATCTATGTAAATACTGAGATGCATTTAAAGTGGTACATACATTTCCTGCATTTTTTCTGGGTAAACAGGATTCATATTTAGATTTATAAAAGAACAATTTTTTTTTCTTTTTTTTCTTTTTTTCTTTTTTTTTTTTAGCACCACTGTCACTTATGAGCCTATTTGACCAACAAAACAAGTAATCCTTGTGAACCTACAGAGCATTGTAATGTCTCTGTCTTTTAAAATGATCAAAAAAGTGAATCTTCAGAAAAATAACTTCTCCCATTTTCTGAAAACTCCTGTATGAGCTAGATTACTGTATGCTAAATAATGTCTTGTACTTGTAAATGTGAAACAATTTCTCATTTAAGATTTATTTCAAGCATGACAAAGAAATTGATGATACCTTGATTTTTTTTTTTTTTTTTTTTTTTTTTTTTTTTTTTTTTTGTTGATTTTATTATATTTTTTTCCAGGTAAAGGATAAAGAAATCAGAGGAACCAAGTTTGTTGTGGCAGGATTAAAAGAAGGGTGTTTTTATAAATTTAGAGTAAGGGCAGTGAATGCTGCTGGCATTGGAGAGCCTGGAGAAGTCACAGACATTATTGAAATGAAGGACAGAATTGGTATTTATCACTTTCATTTACTTCTTTAAATATTTCTAATTCAAAATGAGAAAAAAAGACTGATTTTTTTTTTTTTTTTTTTTTTTTCTTCTCACCTCCCACAGTGGCTCCTGATATTAATTTGGATGCAAGTGTCAGGGACAGAATTGTTGTTCATGCTGGAGGAGTAATTCGGATCATAGCATATGTATCAGGAAAACCAGCTCCAACAGTGAGTTGGAGCAGAGATGATCGAGCTTTACCAGAAGAAGCTAAAATTGAAGAAACAGCTATAAGTTCTTCTTTAGTTATCAAGAATTGCAAACGGAGCCACCAGGGTATATACACTCTTCTTGCTAAAAATGCAGGTGGTGAGCGGAAGAAGACCATTATTGTTGATGTGCTAGGTAAAAAGCAATTTCATTCCTTGTAAAGAAGTTAAATTTCATAACATTCAGTATGTATATTTAAATACTCCGTTTTTTTCTTTGATTTCAGATGTGCCAGGCCCAGTTGGCATGCCATTCCTTACTGAGAACCTAACAAGTGACTCTTGTAAATTGACATGGTTTACTCCAGAAGATGATGGTGGTTCTCCTATTACCAACTACATAATTGAAAAACGTGAATCTGACCATAGAGCCTGGACTCCAGTAAGCTATACAGTTACAAGACAGAATGCTGTTGTTCAGGGACTGACTGAAGGGAGTGCCTACTTTTTCCGAATTGCAGCAGAGAATATTATTGGCATGGGTCCTTTCACAGAGACAACAAAAGAACTTGTCATTAGAGATCCAATAAGTAAGTTGATTATGTGGTGTAAGTTATTGTCATGAGATGAATCTGCAGGAAAATGAATTTAACATATTTTTGTGTTTGTTCACAGCTGTTCCTGACCGTCCTGAAGACCTGGAGGTTAAAGCAGTTACGAAGAACTCTGTTACATTAACTTGGAATCCTCCAAAATATAATGGAGGCTCAGATATCACCATGTATGTTCTGGAGAGTCGTCTCATTGGAAAAGAAAAATTCCACAGAGTTACTAAGGAGAAAATGCTTGATAGGAAATACACTGTAGAAGGCTTGAAAGAGGGTGACACCTATGAATATCGTGTGAGTGCTTGCAATATTGTGGGGCAAGGCAAGCCATCGTTTTGCACAAAACCAATCACATGCAGGGATGAAATCGGTATGTATCTTTTTCATATTTCTTTTGAAAATAATGATCATTCTTACTGATTCCTTACTTTTTCTTACTAACATTGCTGACATTTGTGGAAATCATATTTTTTAATTTCATCTTTCAGCTCCTCCAACACTTGACCTTGACTTCAGAGACAAACTTATTGTTCGGGTTGGTGAAGCTTTCAGCCTAACTGGACGTTACTCAGGAAAGCCTACACCAAAGATTACTTGGCTGAGGGATGATATTGTTTTGAAAGAAGATAACCGTACAAAGATTAAGACAACTCCTACGACACTTTGTCTGGGGGTACTAAAATCTGTCCGTGAAGATTCAGGCAAATACTGTGTTATTGTAGAGAACAGCACAGGATCAAGAAAAGGCTTTTGTCAAGTTACTGTTGTTGGTAGGTTTCTCTGAACATTAGTACTGCCTTTAATGTTTCATTATAATTCAAATTCATTGAATTATATGAAATGAAAAAACTGTGTCCTTTATTAAAATATTCTGATTTATTACACTCTTATTTTTATTGAAATATTATTTATTGATTGAGTTCATAGTTAACTCTGCCTTAATTTATTCTGCATGAATATATATTTCCACAAGCATTTCAAGAATATCAATTTACTGTAGAAAATGTTAGTCACTAAATACTTTATAAGCATTAAGAAATTAGGTTCAGTGAGTCAGACAAGCATTAAGGTAGGAATAACTTTGAGATTTTGATTCCTTATTAAAAATAGATGCTGGGGTTCTATTTTCAGAATGTTTTTACTGTATTAACACTGTAATAACACTGGTTTAATCTCTGTTATTGTTTGAAGATTTTATAAGAACAGGGGTATGATTTATTTTTTTCTTAAACAGATCGCCCGTCACCTCCAGTGGGTCCAGTTATATTTGATGAAGTTCATAAAGATCATATGATAGTTTCCTGGAAACCTCCACTTGATGATGGAGGCAGTGAAATTACAAACTACATTATTGAGAAGAGGGATACACACAGAGACCTGTGGATGCCAGTTACATCTGCTACAGTTAAGACAACATGCAAAATTCCTAAGCTGCTTGAAGGAAGAGAATATCAAGTTCGAATTTATGCTGAAAATCTCTACGGCATAAGTGATCCTCTCATCTCTGATGAGATGAAAGCCAAGGACCGTTTCAGTACGTCACTTGTTTGCTTGTTTATCTTATTTTGATATTGTAATCTTTACTCTGTCTGTTGCCCTCATGAACTCTTGTGGGCTTTTTTTTCCCCAGGTGTTCCTGATGCACCTGAACAACCAGTTATTAAGGATGTTACAAAAGACTCTGCAGTAGTAGTTTGGAACAAACCATATGATGGAGGCAAGCCAATAACAAACTATATTGTGGAAAAGAAGGAAACAATGGCTACTAGATGGGTCAGAGTTACCAAAGACCCAATTTTCCCAAGTACTCAGTTCAAAGTACCTGACCTCCTTGAAGGCTGCCAGTATGAATTCCGTGTTTCAGCAGAAAATGAAATTGGTGTTGGTAATCCTAGTCCACCATCAAAGCCAATTTTTGCTAGAGATCCAATTGGTAAAGTATTAAATTTGCTTTTTTTCATAGAAGTTTTAATGCACTCTTACTTTCACTTAGAAATCCTTTAAAATATTTTCCTTTTTTCCTTTTTTCTTTGCAACAGTAAAACCAAGTCCACCTGTTAATCCGGAAGCAGTAGATAAAACTAAGAATTCTGTTGACTTGACTTGGCAACCACCACGCCATGATGGTAATGGAAAGATAATTGGCTACCTTGTTGAATATCAGAAGGTTGGAGATGAAGAATGGAAAAAGGCCAATCTTACACCAGATTCTTGTCCTGAGACAAAATATAAAGTCACTGGACTTACTGAGGGTTTGACCTATAAGTTCAGGGTCATGGCAGTCAATGCAGCAGGTGAATCTGAACCAGCCTATGTTCCTGATCCAGTAGAAGTAAAGGACAGACTTGGTGAGTGTAATAAAGTCAGATGAGTTTACTTAGGAAGGGACTTGTTTTCTCAATTTCTAAAAAAACTTATTTTGATTCCAGAACCTCCTGAGCTGATACTTGATGCTAATATGGCCCGGGAACAGCATGTAAGAGCAGGAGATACACTGAGACTTAGTGCTGTTATTAAAGGTGTTCCGTTTCCAAAAGTTTCTTGGAAGAAAGAAGACAAGGAAGTCTCACCCAAAGCTGATATTGAGGTTACAGGTGTTGGCAGTAAGCTTGAAATTCGTAACGCTGCCCATGAAGATGGTGGAATTTACTCCCTGACAGTTGAAAATCCAGCTGGTTCAAAGACTGTTTCAGTGAAAGTTCTTGTCTTAGGTAATCTTCTTTTATGTTACTTGCCTGGTTTTATTCTTTAATTTGAGATTAAGAAATGAAAGAATGTCAGGAAAATATGAACAAATTGAGATATAAGGAAAGGTTGAGGGAACTGGGCTTGTTTAGCTTGGAGAAGAGAAGGCTCTGGGGAGACCTCATCGTGGCTTCCGGTACTTGAAGGGACCATATAAACAGGAGGAGGAACAGCTGTGTACAAGGGTGGATAATGATAGGACAAGGGGGAATGGTTTTAAACTGAGGCAGGGGAGGTTTAGGTTAGATATTAGGAGGAAGTTTTTCCACACAGAGGGTGGTGACACACTGGAACAGGTTACCCAAGGAGGTTGTGGATGCCCCATCCCTGGAGGCATTCAAGGCCAGGCTGGATGTGATTCTGGGCAGCCTGGTCTAGTGGTTGGAGACCCTGCACGTAGCAGGGGGTTGAAACTTGATGATCATTGTGGTCCCTTTCAACCTAGGCCATTCTATGATTCTGTGATAAAATACACAGTAGAAAAAAAAGATTGACACAGGAAATATGTTTGTTTTTTTTTTTCCTCTTAAAATCTACTAAATTTAAAAAAAAAAAAAATCTTTGGTTATCAAATAGATAACGGATTTGTTTTCAATGTTATTAGATAAGCCTGGTCCACCTAGAAATCTGCAAGTCAGTGATGTTAGAAGTGATTCTTGCTACCTGACATGGAAGGAACCAGAAGATGATGGTGGCTCTGTTATTACCAACTATGTGGTGGAAAGGAAAGATGTAGCTTCTGCACAGTGGGTATCTGTCTCATCAACCTCCAAGAAACGCAGTCACATGGCTAAATATCTCATGGAAGGCACTCAGTATCTTTTCCGAGTTGCAGCTGAGAATCTGTTTGGTAGAGGACCATATGTGGAAACACTCAAGCCAATTAAAGCTATAGATCCACTGCGTAAGTGTTACTCAGTTATGATTTGTTTTATTTATGTTGTTCTCTGTAATTTTTGAAATGGTCCTGTTGGAACTAATGTGAATATTGTTGAGTGTACTATCAGATGGGTCGGCCATCTATTAACTGATGTGGGTTTTATGTTTTAAAAGATCCTCCTGGGCCACCGAAGAATCTGCATCACGTAGATGTTGACAAGACTGAAGTTTCCCTTGTTTGGAATAGACCAGATCGTGATGGCGGTGCTGAGATAACTGGATATTTGGTAGAATATCAGGAAGATGGTGCAGATGAGTGGACAAAGTTCCAAACAGTCCCAATGCTAGACTGTGTTGTTACAGGCCTACAAAAAGGAAAAATATACAAATTCCGTGTGAAAGCTCAAAATATTGTGGGTCTCAGCCTTCCAGATACAACGATACCAATAGAATGTCAAGAAAAACTAGGTAATTTTAAGCTTTTTTGCGTTGTTTCACTGATTCTTTCTCTCCTTTAACTATACTCTCTGAAAACCATAATGCAATTTGTGTTTTTTTCTGATTTCAGTACCTCCATCTGTAGAACTAGATGTGAAGTTAATTGAAGGTCTTGTTGTTAAAGCTGGTACCACAGTGAGACTTCCTGCAATTATGAGAGGTGTGCCAGTTCCCACTGCAAAATGGGTTACTGATGACACTGAAATTAAGACGGAAGGCAGACACAAGATAGAGACTGACAATTATTCAACTGTACTTACCATCAAAGACTGTGTAAGAAAAGATACGGGAGAATATCTACTCACAGTATCTAATGCAGCTGGCCACAAAACTGTTGCTCTACATCTTACAGTTTTGGATGTTCCTGGCCCACCGACTGGTCCTATTAATATTCTTGAAGTAACACCAGAACATATGGTTATCTCTTGGCGCCCTCCTAAAGATGATGGTGGGAGTCCTATAATAAACTATATTGTTGAGAAGCGTCAATCAAAGAAAGAGACTTGGGGAATAGTTAGCTCTGGAACAAGTCACACAAAAATTAAGATTCCACGACTGCAGAAAGGCTGTGAATATATTTTCCGTGTTCGAGCAGAAAATAAGATAGGCATTGGTGCGCCTCTTGATTCAGAACCAACAGTTGCTAAATATATGTTTGATCCACCATCCCCACCTGGTAAACCAATAGTGTTTGATATTACAGAAAATGCTGCAACAGTATCTTGGACCCTACCAATGTCAGATGGTGGAACTCCAATAACTGGTTATATACTTGAGCGTCGAGAAGCATCTGGTAAATGGGTGCGTGTCAATAAGACACCAATACTTGATATGAAATACAGAGTCACTGGTCTCTTTGAAGGCAACACATATGAATTCAGAGTTTTTGCAGAAAACATGGTGGGCTTAAGCAAGCCATCTCCAAGCTCTGATCCAATAAAGGCGTCACGTCCTATCACTCCTCCTGGACCACCCATTAATCCAAAATTAAAAGATAAAACCAGAGAAACAGCTGATCTAGTTTGGACAAAACCCCTCAAAGATGGTGGCAGCCCAATTCTGGGATATATTGTGGAATGCCAGAAAACTGGAACTACACAGTGGAACAGGATTAATAAAGATGATCTCATCAGACAATGTGCCTTTAGAGTACCTGGGTTAATAGAAGGAAATGAATATAGATTCCGAATAAAAGCTGTCAACATTGTAGGAGAGGGAGAGCCAAGAGAACTGGCAGAAACTGTACATGCAAAGGATATTCTTTCTCCTCCAGAAGTAAGCTTAGATGTGACTTGTCGAGACTTAATTACTGTCCGAGTAGGCCAAACAATCCATATTACTGGCAAAGTAAAAGGTAGGCCAGATCCTGACATAACGTGGTCTAAGGATGGCAAAGTTTTGGTACAGGAAAAACGCATTGAAATAATCCATGATCTACCTAATGTTGGACTGCAAGTAAAAGAAGCCAAAAGATCTGATCATGGCAAGTATATAATAGCAGCTAAGAACAGCTGTGGACATGCTCAAGGTTTTGCCATTGTGAATGTACTTGACAGACCTGGACCATGTCAGAACCTGAAAATAAGCTATGTCACAAAAGATTCTTGTATGATTGCTTGGGAGAGTCCAGTGGACAATGGTGGCTCAGAAATCACAAATTATATTGTAGAGTACCGTCAACCAAATCAGAGGGGGTGGTCAATTGTGTCCTCTGATGTCACTAAACGGTTAGTAAAGGCAAATCTTATAGAGAACCGTGAATACTTCTTTAGAGTTTGTGCAGAAAACAAAATAGGTCCAGGTCCTTGCATTGAGACCAAAACTCCCATCCTTGCCATAAATCCTATTGACAAGCCTGGAGAGCCGGAAAATCTTCACATTGCGGAGAAAGGAAAAACATTTGTATTTCTGAAATGGAGAAGACCAGATTATGATGGTGGAAGCCCGAATTTAAGTTATCATGTGGAGAGAAAACTGAAAGATTCAGATGAATGGGAAAGGGTTCATAAAGGCAGCATTAAGGAAACACACTATATGGTTGATAAATGTATTGAAAATAAGATTTACCAATTCAGAGTTCAAACCAAGAATGAGGCAGGTGAAAGTGACTGGGTAAAAACTGCTGAAGTTGTTGTGAAGGAAGATCTGCAGAAACCAGTGCTGGACTTGAAGTTAAGCGGGGTACTAACAGTGAAAGCTGGTGACACAATTAGAATTGAGGCTGGAGTCAGAGGAAAACCACAGCCTGAAGTTGCATGGACAAAAGACAAAGATGCAACAGATCTTACAAGGTCTCCAAGAGTCAGCATTGAAACAACATCTGACACATCAAAGTTTGTTCTCACAAAATCAAGGCGTAGTGATGGTGGGAAATATGTGATTACTGCGACTAACACAGCTGGTAGTTTTGTAGCATATGCTACTGTTATTGTTTTGGATAAACCAGGTCCTGTAAGAAACTTGAAAGTCACTGACATTTCAAGTGACAGATGTACTGTTACCTGGGAACCTCCAGAGGATGATGGCGGTTGTGAAATACAAAACTACATCCTAGAAAAGTGTGAAAGCAAGCGTATGGTTTGGTCTACATACTCTTCTTCTGTCCTAACTAACTATGCAAATGTAACACGCCTCATTGAGGGTAATGAATATATATTCAGAGTTCGTGCAGAGAATAAAATGGGCACTGGTCCACCAACAGAAACACACCCAATTATCGCAAAAACTAAATTTGATAGACCTGGACGCCCTGACCCTCCAGAGGTAACAAGAGTAAGCAAAGAAGAGATGACTGTCGTTTGGAATCCACCAGAATACGATGGTGGCAAGTCAATTACAGGATACATCTTAGAGAAGAAAGAGAAACGATCATTAAGATGGGTTCCAGTTACTAAGACTGCTATTCCTGAGAGACGCAAGAAGGTTACTAATCTCATCCCTGGTCATGAATATCAGTTCCGTGTCAGTGCTGAAAATGAAGTTGGACTTGGAGAACCAAGCTTGCCATCAAGACCAGTAGTAGCAAAAGACCCAATAGGTATAATACTGTTATATTCTACCTTATTTTGTTTTAATGTAAACAGATTGTTAAATTGCATAACTGTATTCTTATCTGTAATTTTTATTGCCTTTCAGAACCACCTGGTCCTCCCACCAACTTGAGGGTGGTTGATAGTACAAAGAGTTCAATAACCCTTGGCTGGGGAAAACCAGTGTACGACGGTGGTGCTCCAATTATTGGATATGTTGTGGAAATTAGACCAAAAGTGGAAGGTGCTGATCCTGAAGCAGGGTGGAAACGATGCAATGTTGCTGCTCAAGTTATTCATACAGAATTTACGGCCACTAGTCTGGATGAGAAACAATTATATGAGTTCAGAGTTTCTGCCCAAAATCAGGTTGGCCTTGGCCGGCCAGCAGAACTGAAAGAAGCTGTGTCTCCCAAAGAAATACTTGGTAAGTTTTCCCATTTTTGCTATGAGTTTTTGCATGCAATCTTTATTTGCTCTGTTTTTAACTTATTTCATGTCCTAAACTTTGAATTTTATTTCTGTAAATTTATCTTTTAGAACCTCCTGAGATTGAATTGGACGCAAGCATGAGAAAGTTAGTCACAGTAAGAGCAGGATGTCCTATCAGACTTTTTGCCATTATTAGAGGTCGCCCAGCACCAAAAGTCACCTGGAGGAGAATGGGTATTGATAACGTCATCAGAAAAGGACAAGTTGATCTGGTTGACACTATGGCCTTCTGTGTCATCCCTGATTCAACACGTGATGACTCAGGCAAATATTCATTGACACTCGTCAATGTAGCTGGAGAAAAGGCTGTGTTTGTGAACGTTAGAGTTCTGGGTAAGTAACCAGAAAACTATCTGCAGACATTGTTTTAATAATATTGTATATTCATTACAGAAATCTTTATGCCCACTAATGCTGGAGTTTTTGAGCACAAATAAATATATTGGCTAACACTGTCTCTGATTGTGTAACATCCTGTTAGTACTCCTTAATTGTAATTTGAAGAATTTTCAATACAATGACTTGCATAAATTGAAATGTCTTTATAGATACTCCTGGACCTGTGTCGGACTTCAGAGCTTCAGATGTCACCAAGATGTCATGCCATCTCTCATGGGCACCTCCAGAGAATGATGGCGGTAGCCCAGTGACTCATTACATCCTGCAGAAACGTGAGGCTGACAGGAAGACTTGGGGAACAGTCACTGCAGAACTAAAGAAAACTAGTTTCCAAATAGCTAACCTTGTACCTGGAAATGAATATTACTTCAGAGTAACAGCGGTAAATGAATATGGATCAGGTGTTCCAAGTGACATACCAAAACCAGTCCTAGCAACAGATCCCTTAAGTAAGTATACTTTTATGCATATTACATTGTTTTCTATGATTAAGTCAGATTTGGGATTTTTTTTAAAGCAGTTATTTCTAAACAGGATAATGCTACTATCTACTCAGTGTCATAAATATTTGCATCAGTTACTTTCAGATAACACATGTGAATGCAGCATTTTCACAATTTTTCAAAAAGTTTCCTCTTTCCTCTTTTCTATATTTCACTAATTGAATTAGCATAAATAGCATCCAACAATTCAGAAAATCTTGGTAATTCATTGTTTAATGTTTCTTTTCCTTTACCTCTCCTTCTCTTCTTCCCACTCCTAAAGGTGAACCCGATCCACCAAGAAAACTTGAAGTTACTGAAATTACAAAGAACAGTGCTACTTTAGGCTGGCTGCCACCACTGCGTGATGGAGGTTCAAAAGTTGATGGGTATATTGTTAGCTACAAAGAAGATGAACAACCAGAAGATCGTTGGACAGAATATTCAATAGTCAAAGACCTCTCTATTGTTGTAGCTGGTCTGAAAGAAGGAAAAAAGTACAAATTTAGAGTGGCAGCTCGAAATGCTGTTGGAGTAAGTTTTCCAAGAGAAGCTGAAGGAGTATTTGAAATTAAAGAACAACTCAGTAAGTACCTAATTCAATTTTACCCTTGTTACAATGCTCTCCTTAGCAATAAAATAGGCAAGCATTCTTGTTCTAAGTTTGAGACCTAAGAAGCCAATTACTTGATGAAGTCATCTTGAGGATTATGATTAACTGTACTGGATATTTTCACAGGTCAAAAAGGATGAGCATGACTTATTAAACAATATTGTGTGCATTGCTTCATTTGGAACCAGAAGACAGGAATTAGGGAGAGATAATAAATATATCCAATTTAATTAAAATGAAAGAGAAAAGGGGAACAGTAGGTCAACAGTAGAGTGAGATAAGTGGGCTTTGAAGTGGTTGTTCTTTTGAGATAAGAGAGAAAATGTTGTTTGTTTTGTAGAGTAACTTGGGAATGTAAAGCTAAAACAGGGGTGGAGGACATACCAGCCTAGTGGAGTACTTCAGGCAAAGGAAGACATAAGAGTGTGCAAAAATTAAGAACAGCCTCCTTCATCTGTGATGTGGAGAGAGGTACAGGATCAACAGAGAATGAAAACTAGACAGGGGCAGGAAGAAAAGTACACTAAATGTATAGACGGTCTTCTTTTGGAAGGCAACAAAAATTTGTGCAAACATTAGGAAAGGGGCTCTAGTTTGAAGAGTGATTGAAAAGTAGTAAAAAGATAGGCTGTGGAAACAGATTAAATTCAGTGAGAATTTCAGTCTTTCTTTTCTTCTCCTTCATGTCTGTCTTGTAGAAAGTAGGAACTCAGCTGTACAATAGGTTATCCATGTCAAATTTCATAGGAATTGTGTGATTCGTTCAGTGTGCAAGAAATTCAAACTGAAATTTTTTTTCTTATAATCTGCATGAGAATGCAAAAGTAAGACTGGCATGGATATTGCACACTGCAAAATCCTAGTTGTTCATAAGTGGACCTAAATTAAAAATTATCAAGTTGTTCCTACTTGTTATTCCACTTGAGGGAGATGAGAAGAACTTTCACATGAAAGCATAAGAAGTGAATTGATATGTCATAGAAGTTGAATTTATATGTCACTGTCTGTTTTTTTTCAGTCCCACCTAAGATCCTGATGCCTGATCATGTTCACATTAAAGCTGGGAAGAAGCTGAGAATTGAAGCTCATGTATATGGGAAACCTCAGCCAGTTTGTAAATGGATGAAAGGAGATGAAGATGTAATCACATCCAGTCGCCTTGCTGTGCATAAAGCAGAAAAGTCTTCTGTTCTTATCATTAAGGATGTGACTAGGAAAGATTCTGGTTTTTACACTCTTACTGCAGAAAACAGCTCTGGTACTGACAGTCAGAAAATCAGAGTGATAGTCATGGGTATGTATCATTTAATTACTTTCTTAAAAATCCGATTTTATACAAAACTAGTTTTAGTATGTTCCAGTGGTTTCCATTTTCCTTCATAACTTTCAATGTGTTTCTTTTTGTAGATAAGCCAGGTCCACCACAGCCTCCATTTGACATTTCTGAAATAGATGCTGATGCTTGCACTCTTGCATGGCATATACCTCTTGAAGATGGTGGCAGTAACATTACCAACTATGTAGTTGAAAAATGTGATGTAAGCCGAGGAGACTGGGTAACAGCTTTAGCTTCCGTCACAAAGACAAGCTGCAGAATTGGAAAACTGATTCCTGGAGAAGAATACATGTTCCGTGTTCGTGCTGAAAATCGTTTTGGGATTTCTGAGCCACTTAATTCTGACAAGATGATTGCAAGGTTCCCATTTGGTATGTCAGATTTTCACAGCAACATCTCTCTCTTTTTTTTTTTTTCCCTTCCTAATAAGAAAACACGTGAGATTTATATCAATTCTTGTATTTCTGTCTAGATGTACCCAGTGAACCAAAGAATGCACGTATTACCAAGGTTAATAAGGACTGCATTTTTGTTGCCTGGGATAGACCAGATAGTGATGGAGGCAGTCCAATCACTGGTTATCTTATTGAACGCAAAGAAAGGAACAGCTTGCTGTGGGTGAAAGCTAATGATACAGCTGTGCGTTCCACAGAGTACCCTTGTGTGGGGCTCATTGAAGGTCTTGAGTATGCTTTCAGAATTTATGCACTGAACAGAGCTGGAGCAAGTAAACCTAGTAAACCAACTGAGATTGTCACGGCAAGGACACCAGTCGGTAAGCCAGACGAACCACTGAGTAGCAACAGACTACTGTTTTTACGATCATTTCAAATGTATCTGCAATTCTTCATAGAGTTTGCACTTGTTTTCATGTTTGCTGTGAATGCGTTGTATGGTCATACTGTAGACTGGATCCAGATCTGTTAAATATTTCATATGTATTTTAAATATGTTTATTAATATAGTAGCTATTAAAAAACAGCAACAAAACACCAGACTAAAACATGATCTTACTCATCTTAGATCCTCCTGGAAAACCTGAAGTTATTGATGTCACTAAGAGTACTGCATCGCTGGTATGGACAAGACCAAAGCATGATGGTGGTAGCAAGCTTATTGGCTACTTTGTTGAAGCTTGCAAATTACCTGGTGACAAATGGGTCCGGTGCAATACAACTCCACATCAAATACCTCTGGAAGAGTACACTGCTACTGATCTGGAAGAAAATGCTCAATATCAATTTAGAGCAATTGCTAAGACAGCGGTTAATATTAGCCGACCTTCAGAACCTTCTGATCCAGTGACCATTCACCCAGAAAATGGTGAGAAATGCAAAAACATTTGAGAACTATGAGAATCTATCCATATTGAACTAATAGTCATGAGAAGAATGGGATGCTTACCTCTTACTAAACTGATTAAATCTTGTGCTCTTTCCCTTCAGTTCCTCCCAGAATAGAGTTGGATCTATCTATGCAATCACAGCTAACAGTAAAAGCTGGAACTAATGTACGTCTGGAGGCCAAAGTATATGGAAAACCAATGCCAACCATCACTTGGAAAAAAGAAGGAGAACTTTTAAAGCCATCAGAAGGTGTTAAGATAACTACTAAGAGAAATCTTGCTGTTGTTGAACTGTTCAGTGTTAACAGGAAGCAAACAGGAGACTATACTATAACTGCTGAAAATCCAAGTGGATCAAAGTCAGCAACTATTAGGCTTAAAGTACTTGGTAAGCTAAAGACCATCTGTTAATAAATGCATTTGTGGTTAAATTATATAGCAAGAGCTAGAGGTATAACATACTGTTGTTTATTCTTCTAGATAAGCCTGGTCCTCCAGCCTCTGTAAAAATCAAGCATATGTATGCAGATCATGCAATGCTTTCTTGGGAGCCTCCTCTAGAAGATGGAGGTTCAGAAATTACTAATTACATTGTTGACAAACGTGAAACAAGCAGACCAAACTGGGCCCAGGTCAGCGCCACTGTACCCATTACAAGTTGCACAGTGGAGAAACTAATAGAAGGGCATGAGTACCAGTTCCGTATATGTGCTGAGAACAAATATGGTGTTGGAGACCCTATATTGACTGAACCAGCAGTTGCTAAGAATCCATATGGTAAGTGTTTAGCAGGCTGTCTTCACAAGTCACTGTTCTTTGTGGGTTTGTTTTGTTTTTTTGTATACACGTATGGATGTCAACATAACTTTCAAATAAATCTTTACAGATGTACCTGGACCTTGTGATCCACCAGTAATCAGTAATGTAACGAAAGACTTCATGACTGTTAGCTGGAAGCCACCAGCTAATGATGGTGGGTCCCCAATAACTGGTTATATACTTGAGAAGCGTGAAACTAAAGCTCTTAACTGGACAAAGGTAAACAGGAAGCCTGTCATTGAAAGAACTGTTAAGGCTTCAGGACTCCAAGAAGGAACAGAATATGAGTTCCGGGTGATAGCATTGAATAAGGCTGGACCTGGCAAGCCTAGTGCACCATCCAAAGCGGTGTATGCTCGTGATCCTCAATGTAAGCTTAAAGTCTCAGATATTTTCCATGGTATTTCCAAATATTTTTGTACAGCATTTGGTATAATTAACTTTCTGCTATTTCAATTCTCAGATCCTCCTGGCCCACCTGCTTTCCCGAAGGTGGTTGACACTACTCGTAATTCAATAAGCCTGTCATGGAGCAAACCAGCATATGATGGTGGAAGCCCTATTATTGGTTATCTAGTAGAATCAAAAAGAGCTGACACAGACAACTGGGTCAGATGCAATCTTCCCAAGAACTTACAGGCTACACACTTTGTGGTAACAGGGCTGATGGAAGATACAGAGTACCAGTTCCGCATATATGCTGTCAATAAGATTGGATACAGTGATCCAAGTGATGTCCCTGAAAAACACACTGCGAAAGATATTTTAAGTATGTTCATTGAAAGTATATTACCATGTTCACTTTTGTTTTAATTCATGGAATGGCTTTTAAATGAAGGGTTTGTCACACATCATTTAAAAAAGGATTAGTTTGGAATGTGTCATTTCTCAAAGAAATGTTGTTTAAAAGTAACTAATTTGGAAAAAAATGGGGCAGTTAGGAACTGAGAAGAATTGTACTGGTGTCTGCGTTTTTCATTTATATGCCAGATACTCTTCCACTTCCTATTTTTTCTCTTACTAATCATAAATCAGACTTTTCAGGTAGTCTTCATGTCTTCTAAATAATTTGAAGCCAAAATTATTATTCTAAGAGTCTGTGCGTGACACTATGTAAACATAAACTGGAACGTAGGAAATTCCATCTGAACATGAAGAAAAACTTTTATTTAGAGGATGCCAGAGCACAGGAACAGACTACCTGGAGAGGTTGTGGATCTCTTTCACTGGAGATACATAAAACCCAACCAGACTCTTCCCTGTGTAACCTTCTACAGGGAACCTGTTTTAGCAGGGGGATTGGATCTGATGGTCTTCAAAGATCCCTTCCAAGTCCCGTGATTCTGTGAGACTTTTTTCCTAAGAGCTGTACTGGCTTCTATATTCATTTTGCCATACATAGAAAATCATTCCTTCACAGAACTGCTTTGGTTCAAGGAAAGTAGTACAGACTTCGTACTCCTTTGAATTATGGAGGAAATTAGAGTCCTTTTTATATGATAAGTAATGTAAACGATGGAAAAAAATAATGGAAATGATGGCAAAGTCTATACTTGATCTTGAAATGAGAATCAGGACACAAACTCACTAATATCATCATGGACAAAAGAATTGGTTAATCTAGTGGAATGCCTGTAAAGCAGTACTCTTGTCAGAGAAACCTTAGTGATAGTCATCATAAAGGTTATGTTTTAATCACCTCATTTTTGTTTAACAGTTCCTCCTGAAGGAGAACTTGATGCAGAACTAAGGAAAGTACTTGTATTACGCGCTGGAGTCACAATGAGACTTTATGTGCCGGTAAGAGGACGACCACCTCCCAAGATTACGTGGTCTAAAGTGGGTGCCAACTTAAGAGACAGACAAGGATTAGAGATCAAATCAACTGATTTTGATACCTTCCTGCGCTGTGAAAATGTAAACAAATACGATGCTGGAAGATACGTCCTCAGTCTGGAGAATAGTTGTGGTAAAAAGGCATACACCATTGTTGTGAAAGTACTTGGTAAGTGCCAGAGTTTTCCCCAGAATAATATAATGGTTCAATTTGTAACTTTTTTTTTTTTTTGCATCTCATTTACTAAATTAAATCCATGGGATTTGTGCTTATCTAGATACTCCAGGCCCTCCTGTTAACCTTGTTGTAAAGGAAGCATCTAAAGATTCTGCTTATATAACATGGGAACCTCCACTAATTGATGGTGGCAGTCCAATCACAAATTATGTTGTTGAAAAACGTGATGCAGAAAGAAAGTCATGGTCCACAGTAACAGCAGAATGTCCAAAGACAAGCTACAGGATAACTAACTTAGAAGAAGGCAAATCCTACTTCTTCAGGGTTTTTGCTGAAAATGAATATGGTATCGGAGACCCCTGTGAAACTCGTGATGCTGTTAAAGCTTCTGGTAAGAAAAATCAGTCCATTTCTCCTATTTTGATATTCAATTCTTTTTTTTTTTTTTTTTTTTTTTTTTTTTTTTTTTTTTT